CTGATAAACTGATAAATACAACAAGCCCGAAGTTACAAAATAACCCATCCCCATATTGTAAGAATTATAACTATGCATATTCCCATTTCTAAACCCCCTAAAGATAGGCCAAGGGAACTAAGTATCTAAATATAGGCTACCATGTGTACGGATGTTTGACCAATGACCTTGAATAACACGGACCGAATAAAGTTGAATTTCAAACCTATTTTTAGATTAGCTCATTTTGTTTAAATAATATTTCACTAAGTACGTTTTTCCTCATTCAAAATATACTGATGAAGTTGGTTATTATTACCATACTTGTGTATCTTGTACCATGTGCCAGTGTTTAAAGTATGGACGGGAGGCAAATCCATCTGTTTCAATCCAATGAAATATTTGCCATCGAGCAATATCAATGTTGATAAGATAATCCATGTTAATTCTTTGACAGAAACTTAACTTTAAAAACTGGGAATTATTAAAAAATATTTCATAATACAGAAAAATAAATCGGATACTTTCATCACCCACCTTTCACTTTCATTGATGCATAGAAAAGGGGAGATAACCCGTAAACCTAGTAACTACGTACTGACACTGCATGGATGGATAAATAAATTCCGGCTTATCTCATTTATTAATTTTTCACAAAAAGGGGGTGAATGATGACATATAATCAAAGGATATATAGAGCTTAGATAACGACGCATATTATGAGATGAACTCAAATATGCGGTATTATAAATTATAAATGGCCATTTTCATTCATATGTCGATTCGATATATGCAAATAAACTTGAAATAAATGACACTACCAAATATGTCACAACTACTTCATATTTGGATGTTTTACTAACTAAAGACGATAAGGGTCAACTGACAAGTAAATTGTAATTTGTATGACAGCAAGATAACTTCAGCTTTTTCCATCGTCAACTTTTCTTATCTATGTAGAAATGTTCTGCTGCCACCTGCATATTGTGCTTATGTCTCCAAACCTATTTGCTACTCAAGAGCATGCTGTGAGAGAAAGATCGATTTGTGATACGAAGTGGGTTATTCTTACATAAGTTGACGTTACAGTAATTTTAACAATCTTGTTTGACTACGAATTGTTCTGTCTACTTGGATCATGTAGGGCTCACGGCGTGTGTGACCGATTAACAGGGGATGTTTTCTCCTCCTTGACATCTGATCCCACCTCTTGCATTTCTGAGAATGCGTGTTTATGCCCTGTTCATAGAATTGTACTATTTATAGTTTGCATTACATCCGGTCTCTTTTTTTCGTGAGCAATATTAATGTGGATTCATCGCAGATCAGACTTTGAATGCCAATCAACAGTTTTTTAACAAATGAAAATAAATATACTTGTATAACTTTTCTAGTCTTACTAAGATAACATCTTCGATTGTTGATATGCAATACAAAAGTAGTGAATCAATGTCCTGTGCCTAATTAAAGGGTGCATTTTACATTAGAAAGCCTCCGGATAAAATCAAAGGAATATGTTTTTTTTATAAAATGATACCTTCTTACGCAACATCTACTTTTGAGTTCTTCAATATCCTTGTATTTCATACCACTTCTAATTTATTTAATTCAGTTGTCTGAGAATATTCGCCTTCATGAGTAGATTGGAATTGTGGTATAGAAATACGTAAATCTAAAAAGATATAGAATCTTGAATTATTAAAGAACACAAGAAGTCTTGTGATTGCGTTCAATCTGGAATGTTTGCATTAGTTCTTTCCTCAGAATAATTATTAATACACTGTTATTAACTGTTAAATGAAAATAAGCCATATTCGTCTTCTCATATGCTTTATCTCTGTTTTCTTAAGAGCAGAAGGGTTTAAAAACAAGGTTGCTGTCGTCAATAATGGGTGTTCTTTGTTTGGTTTCGCATGTTCCCTGACACAATTCTCAGTCTTATTGAATTATAGTTCATCAATATTATTAAAGTAAATAAAATCTTATCAATACATTTTCAAAACTGTTTTGTTATTCATTATTCCCGGGTCTTATTGTCTGTAATTTCTACAGAATGCACTTGATCTTTATTTCTTGAGGGGCGGATCTTAGGGAGGTCGTTACGGGAAAATTAGAACTACCGGTATCCTACTATAGATGATGCATTTATCTTTCGACATCTCAATGGTTTTATTTAATGTTTCTGAGGCTAGAGAAATTGATATTTCTGTACAGGAGACCAAATACAGTGTAAATTATATTCTTTTTGTTTCATTTCTGAGTCTAATGAAATATATTTATCTTATGCGATATACGGATTTATATAATTATGCAACCCTTTTTTAGTTTTTGAAAATTTTTAGCTCGAGTTTTTGTTTTTCTAAGTAATGTTTCGTTTAAACAATAGAAAAAGAAGCAAGAGAAAAAACAGTTTGCAATTGGGAATTGGGATATAAAATTATGCTTCGTAATATGCTATATGTTGAGAATTTTCCATTTTTTGGCAAACTACAATGAAATAAGTTTATACACTAATGTATATGAACCGTCTACGTTTCTTCGTAAGTTGGTACCTAGGACTTTATGAATTGTTGTCAAAACAAACAATATTAATTAATTGTAATGTAATAGCTGATTAGATTAAGGTCCAGATTCCGAAGAATGGTTCGTCCTGCTTCTGGTGCGGTTGGATATTCTCAATTTTCTCCGTGTCGTGATAAAGTATATCTTTCTATAAGTTTTATTTTTCGTGCTAGATTGTGGTTGAACGTAAAATGATCATATCAAACTTACTTAAGGGGAAAATAAATGCAAAACACTAGTAGACATCTTCAAAACACAGCAACAAAAAAAAAAAGAGAATTTGGCCAGACCAAAGACACATTTATTGATTGAATGACCCAGACTATAATCTTTCTATGCATTATTTGATTTTTTAGAATTATTTGGAATATGATGATACTCAGTATGTTTTAGACTTTTAGAGGTACATTGCACTAAATTTCTTCACGTTTGACGATAAAACAAACACGACCCCATCCCCATTTTATGAACCCCTATACAAATGCTCTAGTATTTATTTGCATTTTATTTGATAGATGTCAATAAGTTTATGGCGTTTAAATAACCAGAAACCATACAGTTATAGCATGAAATGTACACAGTATATGTTTAACAAACATTAAAGTCGCGAAAGATCGAATTTTTAATCAGCAGTCAAAGGAAATTGGACTTTTGGTGGGGAACATGCCGTTTGTTTGACTAATTATTATTTGATTTAATTATTTTCCTCGGGATGCGTTTGAATTTGTTGCGAAATAATAAACTATACAAAGCATCAAGCTCAAAAAATACTCGATCTAGCTCCCGTATGTACGTATGTGCATATGGCAAGATCTTGTTTTTGCTATGAACACCCCCTCCCGTTTTATCGGTCCAATTAATGGGGGAAAAAACAAACGATAAGAGGTGCACATTATAGCGCTTCAAAATAAAATAATTATTACCAGCATGTCACAAACTTGTCTCTTTTTTGTAAGGCTCATTATTTGTATTGTATATTACATTGTTAAGGAACCAGGATTTAATTATGCAAGTGGTAATTCAAATTATACCCATAACGAAAATGTGAAATCATATATATATTTTTTTACCAAAATCAATAACATCAAAACGTACAACAAAAATTTTATACAACCATTTCCAACGATAAATTGAAGTCCAGGCTTCTTCTTTTTTTTTCTTTTTTTTTTACTTTATTGCCGGACAGCTGCTTTTTCAATAAAAATACTTCGCACATATACTTACCTTACCATTTGCAAACTTATTTTGCTAAAAAAAAAACATTCTGACTTTACACACACATACTATAGAGTTGATATTAAAAAGATGCTTGAAATTCTGATTGACAATATCTATGTAGTTTTTGGAGACCAGGTCTTCCAACAATCTGTCAGAAGTCCTATAGGTACCCTTTTTTAGCTTCTCTTCAAATGTCGAGACTCAGTATATCCCAATGGGCTTGACATAAAAGATACAACAAAGTCTGACAATTTTTTTTCATATTTGAAGATTTTACTAGAACACAACAAAGCTTTATCGTAAACGTGATTTTTCTACTTTTCCATTGTAAACATCCTCTACAATTATGCAGCAATATACTTGGTACCTTTATCGCATACATACGTAGTTAATGTCTCTCGGTTAATTTGATGCTAAAGAGCATGTTCTACGTGTGAACAATTTTTAAAAACGAAGCCAAGATTTGACAACCTAGTTGAAGAAACAATTATTTCAACCAAGTTGATGAAACAAAGATTTCAACAGTCTTGTTTGAAGCCATCGTTTCGAAAGATTTATGGTCGATACAAAGATTTTGTCAGCAATACAACCTATCATTAAGTCATATACTGACTTACGTTTTTCATACTAATTGCTAGGTCATTATTTCTATTAAATTGTCTATGGATTTTCCGTTTTCCCCGATGAAAAGGCACATGATGGGTGTGATCGGTCGGCGGGGGATGCTAACTCCTCCATGGCACCTCTGATATTTCGAAGGACTGGTTTTGCTCTGCTTCCGTATTGCTTATCTGTGACATTTAACGGCTGCTTATCCATGCTATGCCACTGCAATGTTACAAAACGCTAAGAAGCGCCAGAGACAAGACCAAAAGAAAAAAAACACATATGATGCAAAAAACAAATACGTTTTTCGGCTAATATGGAATGTTTTTACTAATGCTTCGTCCTTTTGAAAATTTCAGACCATCCTGCCCCACTCTCGAGAAATATCCAACTATAAGACATTGAATATTCTTTATTCCTGTCTACAGGAAATAGGCATTGTCTCTTAATTAGGTCGCTGAGAGTGCTGAACTGTAGAAAATGTGGATGAGTTTCGTGCCAATTGGGATATAAAATATTTGTTAATTCGTATTGTTTTCTCAATTCAAACCACTTAATGAAGCTTGTGCTCATTCAGAGAGCGCGCGAAGGGTTTTTAAAGGCCGGCACTTTGCCCTCTGCTAGCAGTCTTGTTTTACAATCCTAATTAAATGGAGGAAATTTTTAAACATTTAACCTTTTACCTTCTTCTGCTAAATGGAATTTCAGTCTCTGAATCAGGTAATGAATTGGAATTAAATTTAATAACTTAACTTTATGATTAAATTTAATGAAATGTTTCAAAATAGGCCAAAAAAAAATAAAATAAAAATCGTTTAAGGTACTGCAATTGTGGAGATTATATGAAAATATTATGCAACACTCCAAATTGCTAGCATGGAGGAAGATTGTTAGATCCGTGCGCCATAAATTTTACGAAGATAATCAGTTTTTAAAAAAAATGTTTTTATAGAATTTTTTTTCCATAATACATAGAATATTGAATTGTAAAAGAATGTTGAGACTGAAAGTGTATGCATACAAAATATTGAAACTGCAAATAGATTCAAATAAGGAGATTTAGACAGAAATTAAAATAAATGCAGTGCAAATTCTAATGTGTCATAACTGCACGACTTGAAATTTAAGAAGAATTAAAAGATTAATAGAATTTTGAACTAGATTTTTAGTTTAAGTTAAAACTGTTGAAAATGACAGGACTTTAAAGGCATTTCGGATACATATGTGGTGGCTAAAAGGATGGATTAAACGTGATGCATTTCAAACTCCCATGATAAAATAGAATGAATCATTTAGTTTTTTATTTTATATCCTCATCGAAAAAAAATCTCTGCGCTCTGTTTCCTTCAGTATTTTTGCTAATGAATTATTGATTTTTAAATGTCACCAATTATATCTAAGATATCTAACTACCCAACGGTCCATGGCGTGATAACTGCACAAAAAATTATCATTTGAAGGACATTCGAGTAATTTACGAATCAATCCATCCCGATGTTTTTGGTTCATGATTTGCATAATTACAAATTAAATGTAAAGATATATATTAAGATAAGATGAGTTTCTGCAACATCAAGCAAGTGTTCTACAAAAAAAAATTAATTTTCCAAAATGTGCAATGGTGAAAAAGGGATGAGGTGTGCGTTGTTTCTTGCAGCGAATTTTGGTTCTAAGAATTCAGTTGTCAATGATGGAATACGGTGAGGAAGCGGTATTTCCTAAAAATTTATGGAAATAGGAAGTCGTTGGCTATTTTTTTTACTATGATCAAATTACCCTAACATCAAAATTGAGTTTTATTTTTGTTTTTATTTAATTATGGATCTCGTGTCTATTTTTGTCTGCAATTTAACTTTTCAAATTGGATGAACAAAAGTGTTCATACCTGATTTTTGATACTTTTTAAGCTTATGAAAATTTGTGATTTCGTGTACAAGATTTGTTGATTCTCCACTTTAAGAATTAACCGAAGCGAAAAATGCCCATCTTTACACGTATAAATGTTACTTCAAAATATTCATAGAATCTTCGCAGAAAGAATAAATATCTAAATCCTCCTGCAGTTTTTAATGGGCCCGGCGATGTTGTTAAATTAAATATTTATTAAAAGTGTTTTATGAGGTCGTTGTTCGTTTAATCCATTGATTTTGATATAAAAAATACGCAGGTGCAGTGACTTTTGCCAGTAGTAGATAATTTGGTCTTATTTGATTGCCCATCTGGAACTTTGAAAATTTCAGTGGAAAATTGCAGTCGGTATCTTCGAAAAAAATCTGGAAGCTTTCTGACAGAAACCGGTTGATTTGATAAGAATATCGTTCAATAAATCCTTTTCAAAATATTTCAAACTAAACTGGAAATCTAATTTAATACTTTAAGTAAGTCTTTATTGGATAATTTCTTCGGTTGGTAGCGTTATATCATTATTTATTTAACGGTCAGTTATGCTCTTGAAAGATTAATTTCTCGTTGACGTCACAAGAAAACTGTTGATGTAAAAAGAAAGTTTAAGTATTCGTGCACTTGGCAGTTGGCCGAATGAACCATACGAGTCCGTAATGTTACGGAAAAGGGGACATTTCATTTAATTCGTGACAAATAATTGCTGGAAAATTAAAAAAAATGTCGATGTGTTAGTATTTCTAGGACGGAAAGGAGGCATTTTATCTACTTTTTACTAGAACGAAAGTCACTCTTACTGATAAACTAATAGGCAAAATAAATATATAAATAAAATAAAGGGGGGTTTATAATTTTTTGCCTTCCTGATCCTATCTTCTTTATTCAAAACATATTGAAGGACTATGTTTTAATATTAAAACAGGTCTCATCTTCCTTTCTGTACAACATCACCTGATTGTTACACAATGCGACAATTCAAGTACTTCATAAACACGTTTTTTTTTTTGCATTTTTAAAGTCTCGTTTAAGCTGAAGAGGCAACGGATGAATAAATGATTTTTAACACGTGTGTGATTGCAACCCCCCCCCCCTCCCGTTAAAGCTGTTCCAAGGTCCCGAGCCACTAAAAAATGACATTGCTTTTAAACTATGACGTCACTATTCTACTTTCTTGAATAGTTAATCCAGATATGGTTTCAAGTTCAATGAACTAGTGAGGATACAATGCAAGTTGACCCACATTTGAAATGACTATTGAGGTGTGAACCAGTCCTAAAATTACAATAGGAAAATTTACGAATAATAGCACCTGTCCAGTAATATTGTAAGCAGTTTAATTTAGCGTAATATCCTTGAATTCAAGTAGTGTATCAATACTCATATCATTTTACATAATTTCATACAAGGTGGGTATACCAACGCTTTCATAAAAGTCAATCTCCTTGTTAGGGTCTTTAAAGGGACTTTGATCTCGCGAGATAGTTATATAATAAATGTCCATGACATTGTTTCAACTTGATTGCAAAAAAGTGAAGCTACTTTAACAACCTTAATCTTCATGTCACAAATTGCATAATTTATGTTTAGAACTAAATCCCCCTAAATCACGTTTCAGCGCAAAAATATTTAACATTTAAGATACAAGATGTTCGAAGCAAAATGTCGGGTTTCAGAGAGAGACAGAGGAGGGGGGGGGTAGAGTGAAGTAGAGGGATTTTCTTTTTAATTGATTTCATTTTCTTTTTGGCGTTCGACACGAGATTGAATGGGGTTTTCTTTATTTGCCATTACATGCTCCTTTGTTCGAAGATTTTAGGATGTGCATATGCCATGTATAACATACAAGATAATTATTTTGATAAATGGCTTTTTTAAAATTTGGGTTTGGAACTAACGTTATATATTTTTGCACTAAAAACTGTTTCCCAAAGACAATCTTTGGCAGTTTGTAAAAAATGTCAGCGATATGGAACATGGTCTGGCAATTGTAAATCGATCACGCTAAAATCGCATTTATTATATTTAAATAATACTTAGAGGAGATCGTCGTATCTAGTTTTTGGACATAAAATACACTCTATACAAGCTATCTAGCTTATAGATACATATGACGACACTACAAGATGTGATAATCTAAAATAACCCGTAAAAAGATCAAAATCGCTATCATGTCTTTTTAGGTCATCAGGATTTTGCAAATAACCCATGTGTACTAATAAAATATCTTCAAGATCACTCAAAGGAAATGCACAAAGAAAAATCTGTAGATTGTTGGAAAAGCATTGGGTTTAAGAAAATGTTTTAAAACGTTGTAGAATATTTTATCGCGGTCTTGTATGCTTTTGCCATTGTTGTGTATTGATGACTCTGGCCTAGAGGGGTATTAGAGAGGGTATTCGCTTGTGTGAAGTCTCAAATATGTTTGCCCACTTAAAACTTCAAGTGAAAATGTCGTGAAAAACAATTTGTACTTCAAATCGATTCAGATATAAGATTTTAATTGAAACATGTTGGCTTTGAGAGATAGAGAATTCAATATTCTTTTAAATTATGATAACTTTAACGAGAAAAAAGGAAACAATTAAATATTAGAATTTTGTTGTTGTCATCTAAAAAATAAAAAGTGATAGGAAAGTATATGATATGTTTGTTCACCAATCAAGGGCCCTCAGGGGGCATTAACAAATTATTACAATATGATTACTCTCATTACAATTGGATAGGAAAGTATAAGGTACTTATTATTTTAAACAAAATTAATTTTGACACAAATTAAAATAGATTGTTAAATGCACATGACTGTTTTGTATTTCAGTAATTTAATAATTTTGAATTTTTTGTATTCGATAATAAAATTTGAAATTAGAATTCTGATTTACTCGCTGAAACAAATTTAGAGAGAATGGGGGATGGATAGAGAGAAAATATAATTGAGAAGAGAGAAAGAGAGTTGAAGATATACGACCAGATTCGTATGATCAATGCAAAAAAATTAAATCATTTAGGGTAAATTTTTGCATAGATAGTAAGGCATAAAAGTTATGTTAAATTAAAATGTACGGTATTAAAATCAAAGATCTTTTTCTGTAATAAAAACAGACACACATGTTCATATACCTAAGGAAAAGGAACGAATACCTACATTTTACCTTTAAAGAAGATATTTAAATCACATATCCCAGAAGCTGAAATTAAGCAAACAATCAAATTAAAAACTGGGTTTTCAATAATGCGTCGTGAAATCTGTTTGGATAAACGAATTTCTTTCGACCAATCGCATAGTTGCGCAGACTTATATTTTTCATTTGATCATTTTCATATATAATTAATTTAACTTAGTAATATTGGGGTCAGTGTGATAAAACACGTCAAACAGAATGCACTGCGGGCAGGGGCTTTCTGTTCTGTTGGTCCTATTAGCTCACTCAGGGACCGTGCTCAGTTGTGAGTTTTCTTTTTTGTTTTTAATTTAAATTTAGTTAATTTCGTTAAAAAATATTTTTTTACATACTTAAAAAAACTTCCACATCAAAAATTAAAAACTAGTTTATATAATTCTTTTTTTTAAGAGAAAATAATAGTTTTTAAAAATATTTGACATCAGACGTTTTGTAAAAATGTCTAGTCATCCTATACATTAATAAAAACGGTTTTCCATTTCTATTAGGAAAATTGCACGCGGGTCATTAGATAAGTTAATGAATGTTTAGGAGTTTTGTTTGAAAAAAAAACTTTTAAAAGCGTTATTTTTTTTATTGTAAAATAATGTCGCCCAGAATTTTATAAATTTCCCAAATCTTAAAAAAAAACGGTGGTAATATTTAAAATATCGATTTTCGTAGTTTGTGGATGAAAAATATTTAAACAAATCAATACATTATGAAATTGTGTGGATTGTGGAAATCGTTTCTGATCTATATTCATATTGGACCTTGATGTAAAATAAACATGTTTTAAAAAAATTATAAAGACATAAAGTTCGTAAATCATTTTATGGAAAGTGTCTAAAATCAATTGCTATAAGATAATACTTTGTCGCTTCATGTTAAGTCCCAGTCAAGGAATTTATGTTCTCGCTAGAATTGAAAAATGTCTTTTGTTGAAAAATTCAATCATGTATTCTTTTAGCAAACATGGGAAGAACGTGAGATCAAAGCTGTAAAGACGAGCGTCTACATGATTTTTTTTTATAGATGCGGTTACTTTTAAAGTAAAAAAAAAAAGGCATTTAAAAGATTCTTAAAATTTTATGTCTAGATGCGTTTAGGTCAAACTAAAGTATATCTTCCTTTTTTTTAATTTCTTTTCATCTCATTTATGCTAAGTTGGTTGTTTTGAAAGTTTAATATAAAATACACGAGATTAAAGTTTTAAAACTGTTGAAAATATGTTAACTTTAGAGCTCTAGCTGAAGGTTATACCTCATAAGTGTATAGCAATTGTTTAATGCATATGTTTTATGTTTCATAGCAAACATTGATTCTACAAAGTGTAATGGGTTGTAACTGATTTGCATGAATGATGAAGAGAGGGTTTGTTATTCATTGAAAAATTGGTAAAAATTTCAATTTAAACATTTTTCAGAGGTTGCATGCCTTCTCACTTAAATTACAAACCTGTGGAAAATCATGCAAGAAACAATGTTATTTTTTAAAACAATTTAACAAATTCCAGCATTCAATTTGCGAAGAAGGAAATTGAAAATCATTGGATATCAAAATGAAGCAATTTGAACTTTAGCAAGAAATCTGAGGAATACGTTTCTGACTATATTTCCTGTTCAATATACATGTATATCGTTATTTGGCTGCTCGACAAAGCTTAATTGATTGTATATTCAGTTACTCCGTACTGTACACTAAAGTATTAATGTAAAAATTGAAAAAAAAAGTATTGCACATTGAAAGTATACTTTTTTAACCATCTCGTTAACTGCAAATCTCACGTGTATGGAGACAATGACACTAGCGCTAAATCAACTTTCTCGGTGTTTTAATTTTAAATGCTCTCTCTCCCTCCACCCCCTCCCCTCTCTGATCTGCGCACATACTCTAAAGAAACATTTTTTTTTTAAGTTTTAAGCATAAAAGTTAGAGCACATGATTTGAAAGTCAATAGTTCAATGAGCTTTACAAGGTATCAAGCGACAACCTTCTTTTGTAACGTTCCTAATTTTGTCGGCCTCAGTGCGTTAATTTAAAGAATTACGAAGCCTGATTAGGTAATAAAGATCGGGGTCAGGACCCATCATTCAACAACATTCAACGCACTGTCAGATGTTGACTGGTAAAAAATGAGAAACAGGGGAGATAATTATCACCATGACTGGCGATGTTTACAGAATGTAACCCATCCCCCTTTTTCTTTTCAAAATGCATCATTAAAGGTCATTTTATGGAGACTTTTTTTTATTGCTACAACATTCGACAGTTTGACAAGAGTCATAAAAAATGTCATTGATATGTTTGTTAAAAAGAAGAGCTAGATCATTATGTAAGTTGACTTGACACTTTTTTAAGTGGAAGTTTTTTATGAAACTTTATTGATTGGACCTGCGAAATATTAAAAGTAGCTTCTTCCATGCCTAGATTGAGGGGAACTAAAGATTAATGATTTACTTAGATATTATTTTAAATGAAGTCTTCCTATGGGCCATTGCCCTAAATTCTAACATGTTGGTGGAATCAATAAAGTATGCGTTCTGTATCTACCAACAGACAAATTTATCGATATTAAATGCTCGTCTTTGAGAAACGTTGTCTGTTCTTATGATTTTCAATAAGATTTTCAAATGCTCAAGAAAAAAATCTGTCGATACTAGAATATTTCTATTTACAAAGAGATAAAAGATATCGGAACAATTCTCTTAAGCCCAATTCAGTTTTGTTGATAAATCCAGTAATTTATGAACAAATTGACGTGGTCCATTTTTCACACCCTTTCAGTGCTCGCTACATGCGCACAATAATATTTTGGGTTATCAGTTATAAAACTTATTGTGCGATCAGTGGTTGAAGCCGAGCCTTACATAAGAAAAAGAAAATTTAATCTTTATTATCTTAGCATTTCGAGTAAATTATAAGAAGGGTGGGAGGGGTGCGTACACAAAACTATGTTGTTCCAATGGATTATCGGAAATTTCATATTCATTGTACTGGTGTATATTCACGAGTACAATGTAATCAAATTTGTTTTATTTAGACATGTGTAAAAGAAAATTAAATGAAAACCACCGTCAATTAGATCATATTTACCAACACCAAAAGAACTCTTCACATTAAAACTTTTCGAGTTTTATAAATAAAAATTTCAATGAAGAGTAAATATATCATGTTGGCGTTAGAGGAATCGGATAATTAAAAAATAAACATATCAATTGGTCGCCTTTTTTGAAGGGATGTAAAAGTTACTATATTAAATTTACTCAAAATTTTAGTCAACATTGATTCCTGTGTATTGCATTAAATTTTAGAAGAATATGCCTGTAATTTACAAAAGTACGAATTGATTGACATGCTGGGTGTTCACGCTGTGTTCGTTTGCCGACCGAGACAAATCTTACATAATACTTACAATGATAAAAGGATATTTTCAAAAGAAAATCAATTCGGGACCAAGTTACACATAAGTAATAATTATGTGTCCTTTTGAACGAGGTTAATCTGTAGCATATATGTTCTGTTCTAAGGAAATGAGCTTCGTAAGATAATTCACTTTTATCTTTTTATTGAAAATCCTCGTCGAACTTTTTTTTATATCATATAATAATCAATTAATTCAATGATCATTGTTGACCGAATTGCTTCGTGCTATCGGAGAAAATCGACATTTGAAACATACAATCAAATATTTCATTTTCTTTTTAATACATTTGATTCGAATGAAAAGGCAAATAAAGTATATACTCTGGTCGACTTTTCATGATGAATGTAGGGTCATAGGAGGGTCAAGATTTTTTGAAAGTCTGTCATTGAACTTCCAATTATATATTGTAAAAATCACATAAAAGGTCTTTAAAAGCGTAACATTTATATCAATTAGAACTGAAATTGAGATTTCTACTCATCAAAGAATGCCTTTAGATATCTGTAAAGCAGATTAAAACCCTGAGATGACCTTGCATATTTAAAACATATAATATAGAGATAATAATTTAAAAGGCATATACGTGCAAATACTCATGACTGCATGTACTTATTTGCCCTACATGTAATTGCCCTAAATATTGCACAGCACATAACCATATGCAATGCTATCCATTTTAATCAAATAAGGAACGTGCTCATGCAAACGAACTTAGAAAATAAAATACCCCTTCCCATCTATCTCCAAATATATTTTTTATTTCGGTACTTTCATAATGTACTTATGCTATATTTTTTAATATTTTATAGCCAAGGTAACACACATTGACCCCGCTTTTGGGAGTATTGCTGGAGGAACCAGGGTCACTTTATATGGCGATGGTATTTATCATTTTTCATTTCTTGAACGAATCTTATCAAATTTTGTTTTACTCAAAAGTGTAAAGCTTCATTTTTCATATGAAACTTAAGAGAATGAACATCAACATTTTTAATATCATGTTAAACAAGAATATCTATAAATATACATATTTTCTCTTTGATAATTAAAAAAAATCAGGGTTTGCTGCAAATCAGTTTAACTGGGGAACTGGAAATGAGAATCTAGGAAATGAAGTGACAATCGTGTCTGGAACACAGTCTTATAAGACCGAGATCCACAAGGATGGCAGCAACGAAAACCAAATCCAGTTCTACACTCCGTTAGTATTTTACATTTCATTATTTTTTATGCATTTATTAAGACATATTGTACTAAAATAAATATATTGGACTGAAATTAACAAAAAGTTGTTTTTTTTTTTATTATTATTATTTCATATAATCGGAAACTACGAAAAGTAAGATTGAGTTTTCCGAGAGACATGCTATCAGAGGAAAAAAAAAACAAAATAAATACCTTTTGTATTATTAGGCCCTTGCCTGCAGGGAAATATGGATTCAAGGTCAAGGTAGATGGAAAGGAGGTGACCAGCCTTTGCACCGCGGATTCCTCAAAATGCGTCTTCGAGGTAAGAAAAGAGTCGGGTTCGGTATACACAATTTGTTTGCGGACTTTTCAAAACAGACGTTTGTGGGAATTTGTCGAACTGGAAAATCGAAAATGAAAAGTCATATAAGAAAATATAAAACAGGTTGAATTTATATTGCAGAAATCTAAATACACTGTTTTAGTATTAATGAGCAATAGGTCGCTGAAATATCTGTTTCATAATGATTGATTTAAAGAAACAGCTCATTATGAAATAATGAATGAAACGGTGATACATTGTACATATACAATGATTATAACTGGTTAATAGGACGATTGCATCGGTTTTAATACGCGACGTTGTTATTTTACAGACGATTGCATGGGCAACACCAACCATCGAAAGTGTTTACCCAAGATCCGGGAAACCAGGTACCATATCTGACTTTGTTTCTTTCCTTTCACTCTCATTTCTTCTATTTCAGAAAATATTATGAAATAACTTAGCTGCAGATCCGTAGCTCTTTGCTTGAGAAAATTTTGACAGATAAAGCAGAGAGCTACAAAGCCAAGCGTTGTAAAAACCTTTGATTTGTGTCGCTGATTTTTGGTTGCTCACTTTAGGCATAATTTCTTGTATTTTTAGCTTTTTCCCACTTTCAGAATGATATCCAATAATTGAGCATTTATTTCACAGCTATTCTTGATACTTTATTTACCTTTCAACGGTCCCAAACAGCACTTATTTGGTTAAAAAAAATTCCATTTGAACATCTATGTATTGTAGGAGATTGTGCTTAAATAAAATCTTTCAAAGAACATATGCTTGCCCCAAAATAGGAGTAAAATATATGATTAATTATCAGATACCATTTCTAAAGCGGAGAAAAACATAAAATACAAGAAAAAATACCCGAAGTGAGCCACCAACTAGCTCTGCTTTATCAGTCCAAATTTTCTCAAGCAGAAAGCAACAGTTCTGCAGCTAGAAATGATTCCACTTTTGTCAGTTTGTACATGTACATCAAATGAAACTATTTGCTAATGCATTTTAAAAGTATAAGCATTTTTACCTTCTTTTTTTCCTTTGGATTATCACAGCTATAACACTGTGGGTTTTGAAATCAATTTGATAAATCTGAAATGTTTTTAATTTAAACAGGCACACTTTTGACGGTGAACGGTAGAATAATCACCACCAGATATGGCAGCAACATTGATGAGAGTGACAATGGAAGAACTGAGAAACTCCTCAGGTTAATTTTTTTTAGTTTTACTTGATCATAATTAAAACAGATGATATATAACATGTACTGAATTCTTTGAAATAACATGAACTGAATTCTTTGTAAACAGCTAACAAAAAAACTTTAACATATTGAAGGTGAAACTTTTATATAGAAAACCAATGCTGTTAGAACAATAGATTGAGAAAAGTGTTTGTAAAGGGTAAATCATTGTAAATTCCAAAATGGAGATGTAAAATTAATCCTTACCTCCCAAAATTAATAACATGAATTCAAGTGAAATTTTCTTTTAACATAGCTAAAATATTTCCAACATTGAGCTTGGTGAAATATTGAGGTTCACACTATCATGGATTCAATTTGTGTGTGATTAAAGTGTATAATACATGTATTTCAATAGGCCTGATGTAGAATTCTTTTTTCAGGGTGTATGCTCCGCAGGGTTACAAGTGTGAGATGAAAGCTCCAGGCACAGACACATTGTGAGTACTCTTTTTGTTGCTTTTGTTGTTTTTGTTGTTTGCCTTTTAAGTAATTATGTGTATCATATACAGTTTTCAGCATCTATGCTTTTTTTTCTGTTGATTAATTTTAATTGAATAAATATATCAGTTTTACCTTACTTCTGATTCACTATTGTGATATGTTTTTTTTTTTTGCTTTACTTTTTACAAATGTGATGTCTTAAAACTGTAGCAAAACCATCCACAGGAATAATATTTAGATTTTTTTTCAATTATATTTTTTTCATAAGCCACAATATTTATTTTTTTAACTAGTTATGGAATTGGTTTAGAGAAGGAGACAAGCTGGAGAGGACATTTCACTTGTAAAACAACTGGAACATATGTCAGTAAGTGTAGAGGGAATACAATCTACAAGTAGATGTCAAAAACTAATCAAAATCCTGAAGAGTAATTTCATGTAAAACCAATTTGGAATTAAAAAAATGCTGAAAAATAATTTTGGTGCTTAAACATTTCATTTCTTACTCTATTCCAGCTAGTGGAAATATCAGCTTCATTGTGGAAGGAATGTTTGGAAGGTATGTAATGAGTATATACATAAATTACATCGTCTTTAGTTATATCCTAAAAACATGGAATAAAACTTTAAAAATATTTTTTAACAGATCTCTCCCAGTGAATGATGTTCTGAAGTACAGCGCAGAAGGTGCCATCCAAATGTTTCAGACCTATGCAGGTATTTAGAAAAAGATGAAAAAAAAAATTATATGCAGTTAAGTAATCATTATATGCAGTTAAGTAATCAGGATCTAATAATTTGGACATTTCATCTTCCAAATGAAATTTAATATCATCTGAAAAATAAAATTAGATTTCTATAATCTTGGTGTGTCTTTGCCTCAGATTATTTGGCAGAGGGTAAAAGCTTCTTGATTAATGAGACTGCACTGTAGATCATTTGATTGTTATTCAATCTATTATTAAAATCTTTTCAGTGATAAACTCTGTTTCCCCATCCTCTGGAAGTACTAGTGGTGGCACCAAGATCAAGTTGACGGGTCAGTTTTTTAACAACACGGAGAAACCACTGAGAATTGAAGTCGGTGGTAAACCCTGTAGTGATCTGAAGCTCCTGTCAGACACTGAGATGACCTGTGATACTCCACCTGAGCCTGCCTCTCAGCCAATTTACACTGGTGAGAAATTAGGGAGATAGCCAAATCTCAGAGACATTTATTTTTCTGTTTCTTTTTTTCCAAATTTTATGGTTCAGCAGCCTGCTTTGAAACACGAATATCATGTTTCATTATCAGTTTATAATGCCAATAGAGGTACAACAATAGCACATCAAAGACCCTATCAAAGAAAACACACACAAAGAATTCATCTATTATTCAAATTTTAAAAATGTGCAGTTTTCAACATAAATTCCGCTCTCAGATTCTAAAGCAAAGCTAATAGATAAGTACTGTACATGTTAGTTGTATTTTACAGGCAGTAGAGGTTTGCTGTATGAGTCCTGGACAACCACTGCTAAGACCTTTGCTACCATTGATGACATTTTAACACTGGACAGCTCAGCCCCCGATTATAACTCCAGCATTGTTGACGAGACTTATTTCATCGACAGTTCCAACCAAAGCTTTGTGTCTCGTCTCAGTGGTTTATTCATTCCACAGCATAACTCTTCCTACAGATTCTATATTAAGTGTGATGATTACGCAGCTCTGTATTTCAGTGAAAGTAGCAACTCATCAGAGAAAGTAAGTCAATGAATCGAAAAAGAAAAGGTGAAAAAAGTGAAAGATTAGCAGTATTTTGATGGACAAATTCAGTTTACATGTAAATCTAAATCATGTGGCTGAAGTTTCTTTTTTCATGTCATCACAGAAACTTTATAAATATCTAATGTATTTCATTCCTTTTTTCTTTGCAGCAAAAAATAGCTACATGCTCTAAATATACTACCAGTTTCTTTGCTCGTTCAGAACAAGCATCTAGTTTATTCACACTGACTGCCGGAAAAAAGTAAGATTTCACTTGTATATAAAATTTTAATCTAACATATTGCAAGAAAATCTTTAATTTTAATATAAGAATTATCAATTTTATGACTTTTAACATTAAGCAAGGTCTATCATCTGTTCTGTTTATTTTCTGTCAGATATTACCTGATGATTTTACATGGAGAGCACCTGCAGGGGGCATTTGTACAGGTGGGAGTGAAGATGTTTACCTCCCCTGTTACTAACGAGATGTGTGGATCAGCTGATCAGGAGAAACAAACAGTGTCTATTTCCTCAACTGTAGTAGATGAAGTCCAGGTACCAAGACACTGGCAAAAAATAATGTTGATTTTTATACGTATTCTAATTATTGTAATTTGCTAAAAAAAAAAATTTTGTCAATATTAGGATGTGAGCTTGTCTGGTTTCAATGCTGCTGATACAACATACACCCCAGAGAAACAGACAATTGTAGTGTCTAACATTGGAGGAAATGAACAGATCACCTTCAGACTGGGATTATATGGAGTCTTCACAAGTAATTTAGCAAAATTTCAATATAAGTCATTTATATGGATTTTACTCTGATTTTCAAGTAACAATAAGAAATATTATTTGTGTTGAATGCTGAATTGTTCACTATACATTTCAAACTAATTAAAAGTACCAAATTATAGTTTGAAGACCTTGTACACATAGTGTAAATTACTACATGCCTAGAAAAATGGATCTGTAAAATAAGATATGTGAAGTTTATGTTTTTGACTTTTGACAGGTCCCCTGAAGGCCACCAGTGATGGAGCAGCTGTTGAAGCAGCCCTGAACTTACTTCCTGCCATAGCGCCCGACACAGTGTCCATTAGCATGACCAGTGGAGCCACAAGTAACACCTTTGTCATCACCTTTAACTCCGCCCAAGGTGAGTATGCCCCCCTATAGAAGAATAAGAAGTTAATCAGTTTCAAGGCAAGAAAAATGTCTTTTTTATATAAAATATTTTCATTGTTGACTGATATTTATGTTTCAGGAGATATGCCCCTGCTAAAGACTAAGGTTGATGTCTCAGGAAGCAGTCTGTCCTTAACTGCCACAGAGACCCAGAAAGGTGTGGCTGGGGGACAGAGTGTCCGCTTCAGCATGGGTGGCAACATATCCCCAGCATTTACCTATGGAGGATCCCTTGATAATGTAAATTTCTATACTAACTTGTTGGTCCCATTTATGTAAATATTCTTTAGAGCGTGAGAGATAAAAATTTGAGTTATTTCAGAGGATCATGGACTGGAAATGAAATTTTTCAAAAAGAGAACATTTTCTTTTTAATCAGGTACAAGCTGCAGTAGAGGGCCTGTTTTCTGTCAGGTGCCCCTCCACCTTCATTGCCGGAGACAACAAATACTTCCAGGATTTCGAGAACCAGAAAGAAGTGAAGGCCATGGGAGACATCATCAGCTACGTCACACCCTTCTGTGGTAGACACTCCATTAAAAACCCAAAATATGTGTACCAGGCTCCCGAGAAAAAACTAGGGATCAGTCTCACCCAGCATGGAGTGGTATGATAAAGCTTTACATGCACATACTAATTTTGAAATTTGTATGTTTCATGAGCAACAACTTAATGCTTAACACCAGTAAATTTTGTTTAGATGTTTTAAAATACCAGTAATTTATGTTTGTGTTTTAGGTATGTTTTGCCTACCTTGGTCCAATCAAACCAATCCTAAGAGTAGACTACAAGTTTTATGACAAAACTAAACTGGCTACAGAGTCTACCAGAAGCAACTTGAACATTGCTAATGCTGCTCCATCCACAAAGTATGTGTATTTGAAACTTTTGTCAGAACATATTCCTGATTTGAAATAATGAACATGAAAATTCATTTTGAACTTTTCTATGTCCAAGTGCAATACATTATGTATACATGTATATGTTGACAATGCATATATCTCTAGGTATTTTGTACATTATTTAAATTCTATCAAATTGTCATGAAATGAAACCAGTCTTCTTATTATAGATGGAACTATGTCTGTGTGAATATCCTGGAGGAGTTGTCTAAACTGAAGCCTGATGGCAGTTCCTTTGAGGCCCGCCAGCTGACAGTGTATCGGGAGGACAACGTTGTGGAGGATCTATTGATTGATGCTGTCATCGTGGTCCGCAGCAGTCTCGCCACTGACACACAAGGTAAGGGTGGGAACCTTATCAATGTAAAGGAGAAATCATCACAAATTGAAGCTGATTTACAGCATACTATGGTACCATATTAGACTGTTCAAACATTTACATTAGCATTAGATTCAATGTTTTCTGTAAAATAACTGATGCTACATGTATATTTCTGTTAGATGGAATTCTTGAACAGCGACTGGTTGGATCCACCCCAGGAGGATTCCCAATGAAGAACCTCAAGGTAGAAGAAAATGCTGGAGTCTACACCATCACCATGTCTCCTAACAACTGTAGTTATGGAATCCCTCTTCTTGGTCTGGGTAATGCACCGGTAAGTATTTGAACCTTGAGCATACCTTAAAACACAAGTTATAGGTATGGAATTCTGTTGATTATGGGGACTTACTTGTATTCTATTTCTTATACAGGCCTCTCAGTCTGACTTGGTGACTTCCACATCAGCCTCATTTTCAGAATCTACCAAAGCAGGAGCTACTGTAACCATGACAACAAGCCGGAAGTCTGCTGCTTCTCCACCAGTCACAGGAAAAGTTAAATTTTCATTCGAAGGGAATGATGTTGGTAAGAATTCTGATAAAACAAGGGTACTGAGATATATCAAGATTTAAAAAAAGTTAATTTTGGAAATAATTTGATAGAAAAAAGACAAAACAAAATAAATTGCAATGCATAATTACCTGAAAATATTAGTACACTGTACTCTAAAAAAGACATCACAGTTAATCCTTTTGATGCTTGTTCTTTTTTTAGACATTCCTGCCACATCTACGGAGACAGAAGTGAGAGACCTACTGATGACAATCCCTAAAATTGGCAATGTTTATGTGAAGAAGGAAGGAGAATGTGCCAAGTTTGACTGGCAGATCACTTGGCTCAGCAGGACAGGAGATCTCCCTGAAGCCACAGTATGTAGTCCTGACCAATCACAGAATTCTCTTTTTGAGTTGAGAAGTCAATTAGGTGTAAATAAAGTCTTTATCTGGAAATTATTAAGCATATTTTGTATTTTAGGTGGATGGTTCCCAATTACAAGGGATATCTCCAGCTGCTACCATTAAGACCAATGTTAATGGAGGACTGTGGTTTAACCCCATTCCTGGAGACATGCTGCGAACCATTGAAACTAAACCCCAGGTACTGTACAGTTTCTTTCCAAATCTGTTATTATATAGCTGTGTATGATATTTTTGGTATTTTATCACAATTGTTTCTGTTAAAAAATCATATTTTTATCTTGGAATTTGAATCAGATGGTAATTTTTTAATTAATTTATTGGTTTATCAAATGACAGGTCATTGCTTACGTGAATGGTATTCCCACTCGTTGTGAGGGCACCTGTGGATTTGAATGGAAAGCCTCAAGTACCCCAGCAGTCTCAGCCATTTCTCCTAGCTCAGGTAAACAAGAAACAAAATCTAGATAAAACTCCTCATCTTAATTACAATATTGTAAAAATTTTAACCTCATCTCAAGTAAATGAAACATGATTTTTTTTTTTAATCAATCTCAGCTTAAGCTCTTATATTTAAAATACAATTTCAGTGAAGTTGTTAAAAACTATGCATAATGAAATAAAGCATTAAAAGAATTGTCCTGCATACTCGATACATTTACTTAAATATGTATATTTATAAAGTTATGTAAAATGTTGATACTCTTATAGCTTTCTCTGGATCCACCTTAACCATCACTGGTACCTCCTTTGGAGCCACTGCAGCTGATAATTCAGTGACCATTGGTGGAGTGGCCTGCACTGTGACCAGTGCTTCCCCCACCCAGCTAGTGTGTACGGTCGGGGCCGGCACAGGGAGCCACCAGGTGGAGGTCAATGTGGCTGGGGTGGGACTGGCCAGTGGCAGCTTCAGCTTTACATACAATACACAGATCACTAGTATTGCTCCAACAAGTGGCAGCTTGGCAGGTGTGAAAGGCTTATTACAATCATCTGATTAAATCTTTAAGAAAAGACCTTGCAATAATAATACAAATAAAAAGCTTTAAATACTTTTCATTCGTAAATCTCGAGGCTTGTATTTCTATATACAGGTGGTACTAAGCTGACAGTCTCTGGATCAGGATTCTCTCCCACTGCCACAGTAACAGTCAGTACCGGCACGTGTGAGATTGTGACAGCCACTACATCCGAAATTGTCTGCCTCACTCCCTCGGTTAGTAATGAAATATACCTGTGAAATCCTCTATTAATTTAAAGGTTTTTATTAGTTACCATCGGTTAGTGGAAGGATTCAAGCATTTTCCACTATATGAAGATATACTTGGTTTATTTGAATGATAATGATATAATATTTCATTCCAAGGCAACCACCCCTGGCAGTGCTTCAGTGACCTTGACTCAGGCAGGTGTGACCTTGACAGCCTCTCAACAGTTTAACTACGATGGATCCTTGACGTCAAATATCAACTCTGTCTCTCCATCTACATCAAGTGTTACAGGTACACTTAAAAATTTTATGAACATATTTATTATAAGTACATGTATAAAGTGTTCAATTTATTCTGTGGGGATAGAGTAACTTTTAACTGGTGTACATTGTGTAGGAGGGGGAACTCTGGTCCTCCAGGGTACAGGATTTGGTGCCTCCAAGCCGGCAGGAACCACCCTGATGATTGGTGATAAGCAGGCCACCATCATCTTGTACAGTGACACCAGGGTAGAGGCCACCCTCCCAGCTCAGGCAGCAGGGAGCCATGCCATTAAGTTTTCAGTTGGCAACAATGGATATGCTTCCGTCTCGTAAGGGATTTTTAGCATTTGATATTTAAGATTTCTTTTATACATATTGTAATAGATTTGAAACAATACTTGTACAATTGCTTTTAGATTATTTTAAATATGCATGTAAATGTGTGTGTCATATTAAAAATGTATGTCAGGATTTATCAGAAATTTCTTTAAAAAATTTCATACCTTTTCTACTCTTTCAGAGCCAGTACAAAGAGCATTGCCTACAGTCTCAAAGTGACCAACATATTCCCCCGCAGCGGGTCTCTGTATGGTGGCACCATTGTCACTGTGATGGGACAGGGATTCGGAATCACAGCCTCTGACATCAAAGCCACTGTAGGAAGCCATGCCTGTAATGTGGTGGGAACTGTTACTGATACACAGTTCAAATGTCAGATTGCAGCAACCGGAAAGGTTCACAAGGTTGACAATCAGGGAGCTGATGCAAGTAAGGCTAACTGCATGGTCATAATGTGTTCTTTTTATCAATTTGAATTTCAGAAGCTTTGTGAAAAGGGAGATAATATGGTTTAGCATAATTTTTTATGCTTTCTTTGATAGATGAGATATTTTGTTATCTAACATCTTTCATATTTAGTTGAAATGACAAATGAAGCTGCATGCTTACATTTGAAATGCACAATATTTAACAAGTCATACATGTATGTTTACAACTTATGGACTGATTTCATTTTTCAGACAATGGAGTGGGATATGCTTGGAATCCAATGACACTAGATGCTTATGAAGGTGACTTTATTGAGTGGAAATGGCATGTAGCTTCAGGTGTGACTGGAATCAACATAGGTGTGTACCAGACAGACACCGCCGTGGCCACCACCAGCTCAGGCTTCTCCAGTGGAACCGCTGCACCGTCTGGAATGTTCAAATACCAGGTGACCAAGGCTGGAGATATTTTCTACTGGAGTGACTATGTGGATGCTAACAAACAAATTGCATTCAGGGGATCCATCAAGGTTGCTGCCCGGCCACAGTCTGTGGAAGACTTTGGACTCAAACTTGGTGGATACGAGGCTGAGTACGACACTGCATCAGGTAATTATATGAAAAAAAAGAAATAATTTTGTTTTAATTACAGTTCAACCATTTATCATTATTTTTCAGATACAAATAATATTGCAGATATTTAGAAATATAGTCTTGTAAGTGACTTGGTAATACTTAGTGTTTCCATTCTTTCATTTGTGAAAGTGCATCTAATGAAAATTTTTTAAATACTTATTGATTGATTTTGATTACTAACAGGTGTAGCTGACCCAGCTGCTGCCAGCTGTGAGATAACCTCCACCATCTCTGGCTGCACTGATGCCCCCGCCACTGGAGGGTCAGCAGGTAAATTCCACTTTTCCTTTGAGAAATGCCAGTCCCCCACCGTGTCCAGTATCTCCCATGACCAGGGACATGCCGTACAGGACATCACTATGACCGGTGCAGGATTCGGAGCCACCAGCTGTCAGCACCAGATTGACATCGGAGACTACTCTTGCAGTGCTTCCTCTGCTTCAGGCAGCAGTCTCGTTTGCAATGTTGATGGATCAACAAAGCCAGAGGTAAGTCCAGATTTTGCTGAAATCTTTGGTTCAGTCCTTTAAAGATAGAATTGCAAAAGATTCTAATCTCCTCTATTCTTCTTCAGTAGATGGAATGAAATTGCAGAAATTACTCAATAATTGATAAATTTGTTAGAAATTAATTTTGATTTTTATCATTACATAGGTTGGAGTAATGAAGGAAATCCAGTTGTCTGTGCTAAATCGCGGTTATGCCCTACTGGCCACACCCAAGGTAGCCACTTTTGTTCTCCTCCCTCATGTCAGTTCATACACTCCACAGGAGGGCTCACTGAAAGGTGGCTACACCCTCACCATTACCGGAGGAGGCTTCAATGAAGACACAGTTGTCACAATTGATGCCATTGGCTGTAAAATTATCAGTGTAACATATGACACAATCACCTGTGAGGCTCCATCCCTCAACACCTATGGATCAAAAGCTCTGGTTGTTAAAGTACCCAGCCATGGAAACAATCTGGAAGCCAAGTGCTCTGACCCCTTACTCAGCTGCTCCATTCGCTATGCTCAGACCGCCACCCCAACTGTCACTTCTGTGACCCCTGATACAGTTTCTGGCTCATCCACTGCCCTTACCATTGTGGGAACCATGTTTGGAACCTCTGCCTCAGCACTTAATGTGACCATTGGAGGAGCCCCTTGTACTGTCAGCTCAGTTACAAACACCCAGATCCAGTGCACTGTCACCACAGTCCCAGTGGGATCACAAGATGTTTCTGTTGTCATTGACGGTGTAGGCAAAGCATCCACTTCAGTCAAAGTAGCCAGTGAGGCTGTCTTGTCCTCCATCACCCCATCTTCTGGAGGCACAAATGGTGGAGCATTGGTTACAATTGCTGGAAATGGTTTCGTAGACAAGAAGACAACTGTCACTATTGGAGGAAATCCATGCACTCTGAAGACAGTGACACCTACTTCCATTCAGTGTACTACCCCAACAGGAACCGGGTCAGCCACAGTGACAGTGGTGTCTGATGGAGTAACATATGGCACCCTGACCTACACTTATGACTCAGCAGACACCCCCACAATCAGTGGCCTAAATCCTCCCTCTGGAAATCCAGGTCAGACCCTCACAATTACCGGATCTGGATTCAGCTCTGGAACAGTCAAAGTGGCAGTCGGTGACACAGATTGTACTGTTTCAAGCTCTTCAGCTACTCAGATTATTTGCAGTCTGGGAGCTAGTGCTGCTGGAGCTAAGCCTGTTGTTGTTGATGTCACAGGAAAGGGAGTGTCCGCTAACACTAACCAGTTCACTTATGGTCTGGCTATTGGCAGCATCAGTCCCAACTCAGGTTTGTTATCTTATAAAAATTTCAAATCAGGCTGTATGTGTCCAAATATACAAACCTTATATCGTTTATTGTTGTCCTGGATTTCTGCCATTGTGTTTTATTTTTCTATAACAGGAAGTCTTGGAGGAGGACAGGAAGTGACCATTATAGGAAATGGCTTTTCTGCACAGACTGCGGTTACCATTTGTGGAAAACCTTGTACCATCATCTCCAGTGCCACCCAGAGTAACACTCAGTTTGTCTGCTCAACTCCTGCCAACCCAGGTATGCACAGTAATGTTTCTACATCTATAAATTTAATAGCAATTAATTTTGACAAAAAGCATTGTGTAGGCTCAGAAGCATTAAAATGGATATATCCTGCCAAAGTTTAAATTACTTCTATTTCCTTTTTAACTGTGTCAAGTATGTGAATATTGTTATTTTCAATCAAACTTATTTTGTGTTAGAAATTAACTTTTTGTTTTAAATCCCCCAGCTGGAGCCTGTGATGTGGTGGCCTCTGAGGGATCAGAGACAAGTACAAAGACCGGTGGGTACACCTACGACAGCTCAGTCACCCCCACCATCACCTCAGTGAACCCCACTTATGGTGGCACCGCTGGTGGAACCTCTGTCACCATCACAGGCACAGGATTTGGGTAATGCTACTTTCTGTTTACATTAGATATTTTGTGTCTTTTGCAGAAACATTTAGTATGTAACAATTATCATCTTTTATAAGATAATTTATTTCTTGAATCATATTTATAAAATAAGATATAAGAAATACTTCTGAGAGAAAATACAATTTTTATTGACATAAAAGATGGTATGATAGATTTAAGTGTGTTCATCATGATATATTTCGTGTTCAATATTATTTCTTTTTTTTTCCCACAGAAATAATGCAGCTGCTGTGACCGTTAAGATTGGAGGTGTGACCTGTGCTATAAATACTATATCTGACACGTCCTTGACCTGTACAACAGGGGCCAGATCTGGCTCCATTGACACTGCTGTGGCTCTGCAGGTTTCAACTAATGGCATCGCTGATCAGGTACATATTCCCCCAAAAAACATAACTAGATGGTGATAAGTACCACAGTTTAATTGAATCAAAGCCAATCACTGAAATACTGATAAAAATTGATTTTCCCAAGTTGTAGCATAAGACATGCTGAAACCACTTACAGGGATAGTATTATATTGTATTATTATTATAATACAGAACAAGAGCCTTGTTAATGTTTTAATTGAATGTAACATTGATTTTTGTCAGGCCAATGCTGCCTTTAGTTATTTGGATGTTTGGTCCTCCCCCACTACTTGGCAGGGAGGGACACTGCCAGAGGAGGGAGAACTTGTGGTAATCCAGGAACAACAGACAATTCTATTGGACGTCTCAACACCTGTACTGGGCATGCTCCTTATTCAAGGTATGAATGATAAAGTAAGGTGATAAAAAAAATTGAAAGTGCCTTTATTTTATTTTCATTGTTAAATATTTGTATTTGTATATTAAAATGTGCCCTTTTTTTTTTCAAGGAGGAAAAGTGATCTTTGATGAGAAAGACATTGAGCTTAATTCAAAATACATTTTGATCACCAATAATGGAGCCTTACAGGTATTTTAACACATACATTGTAGTAATAAATTCATACATGTATTGTAGAATTAAAGTTTTAAAACATTTAGATGCTCTTACATACAAAAAGATTCTTAATACAAGAATATTCAGAGCATAAAAAGGGCAGTAACACATTGATTTTTAGATGCATTTACATAATATAATGTATAAACTTAGGTTGGAAAAGAAGGAGCACCCTTCCAGCACCAGGCCACCATCACCATGCATGGAGTATTCAGATCTCCCGAGCTCCCTATCTACGGATCCAAATCACTGGGTGTACGAAATGGAACTCTGGATCTACACGGTCAGTTTCCCTAGACATTTTTTATTCCAAGGTGAAAAAAATTTATTTTGATCGTCTAAATATTATTATTAAAAGTGAAGTGTGTATATTTCAAAGTAACAATGTTTTTGAATAGGAAAACCCAAAGTAACTTGGACAAGACTTGCAGCTACTGCCTCGGCTGGGGACACCTCCATAACCCTGCAGAACGCTGTGGACTGGGAGGTAGGAGACCTCATTGCTCTGGCCACAACTGGACACCGACACTCACAGGGGGAGACTGAAACCAGGTAATCGGTCACAGTCTGAAATTAACAAGATAAAAAAGGAAACCCATTGTATTAATGTTTAAATTGATTGCATTTTTTTTATCCCGAACTTCATGAACAGATTTTTCAAATGTTAGAAGAAATACATCTTCAATTCTATATGAAAATAATTCATATTTTAAAAAGTTTGGGTAGGAAAATCATCTGACATACATGTATAAACTGAGAGATGGCATATATTTAGGAAAGTGGCAGGTGTCTCAGCTGATGGAAGAACAGTTACCTTGGACTCGGCCTTGACCTACACTCACGTTCGTGTGACAGAGACATATGGCACCACTACTGTAGACATGGCAGGAGAGGTCGGTCTGCTGTCACACAATGTCAGATTCAGGGGATTCAGTGATGCAGAGTGGGTCACCAACATTACCAAGTGTGAGGCAGGGTTTGACACAGGTAAGTTCATTGTAAGATCTCAGTTGTGTCTGTAATGACAAATCAATAGTTCCTCCTTGCATTTGACTCAGATTACACGCAGCTCATCAAGGTTTTTAAGATTTTAATAAAAAATTATCCATATGTTCATAAGTTTAATGTGAATTTTTGTAAATAATTTACATTTTTCTGAAAATTATACATGTATTAATGTTAGGAATAAAGAACATTTCTTTAACTTTCTGAACATTGTTCAGTTGAACAGAAGTACACTTTATATCTGTTATTGCAGGAGAGTTTACCACCCAGACCTGCTTCCAGGGACGATTTGGAGATGAGATGGGATCAGATGAGTTTGGTGCTCATATATTGGTCCATGCACCTGAACCTGATTTGGACATTGCCATCGCCCGTATTGAGTATGTGGAACTCACACATGTTGGTCAGGCCTTCAGACTGGGACGTTATCCCATTCATATGCACTTGAACGGAGACATGAAATCATCTTACGTCAGAGGATGTGGTCTACATAGGACCTTCAACAGAGCGGTGAATGTCCACAAGACACATAACCTGGTGGTGGAGCACAATGTCATCTACAATGTCATGGGTGGATCCTTCTTCTTGGAGGACGGAATTGAAACAGGCAACACCTTCCAGTACAACTTGGCTTTATTCGTGAAGGCCAGCTCCAGCTTGTTGAACGATGACATCACACCAGCCTGTTTCTGGGTCACAAACCCCAATAATACCATCCAACACAATGCTGCCGCCGGTGGAACACACTTTGGCTTCTGGTACAGAATGCACGAACACCCCGATGGACCGTCCTTTGATCCAAACATTTGCCCAAGACATGTACCTCTAGGAGTGTTCCAGAACAACACGGTCCATTCCATGGGATGGTTTGGTCTGTGGATTTTCCAGGAATATCACCCAAGGAAGGACGGATCTTGCAGCACAAGTGCAGATCATGAAGTAGCAATATACAAATCTCTGACTGTCTGGAACTGTGAGAAGGGAGCAGAAGCAGTCAATGTCGGAGCCCTCCAGTTCCACGAGTTTGTCATGGTTCACAACGAAAAGGCTGGTTATGAAGGAAAATTGATCAAGGCATCTCCACAGTATGACGAAGCTACCAGCTATGCTGTCAAAAACAGCGTAATTGTGGCCAACAGCCCTGGGCTGACTGCAGTTTCCGGACAGAAGAACTACTGCACAATCGGTGGCTTTGTAATTCCATATGGAAATGGCATGTATGGTATCAACATTGAATTTTACAACTTTGCTCAGAGTGGATGTAATGCTTTTACCTACACCAAGATTGACGGTACCTGCTCTGTCTACTGTGGTGGATACACCTACAGGTTCAAACAGATCTCGTTCACAAACTCACCCAACCGTGGAAAATTTGACTGGAAATGGCAGGCAGTGATGATTGATGAGGATGGTACCCTCACTGGAGGGGCTGCAGGTTCCCAAGTCACCCCAACCACTGCAACATTACCTCCATCGTAAGTTCTATAACTTTACATTAGTTGTATAAATCTTTCTAATTCATTATTTACTTGAATTTATCCTTGTTTCACTTCAGGCTTTACTATTCGATTTTTTACCAGTAATATCACATTTTGATTGTCATGGTATTCCATAACAAAAATTAGATATATAACTGTATGTCTATTTATATTTGCAAAATCAATCCTTTATTTAGGTGTACAAGTGATACAAACTTCAACAAAGGCGTCCCTGCTAGTCTGTGTCCAGGGTCCCTCACATTCCACCGAGTAGCTCTAAAAGACATCCAGCCTGTGTCTTTAGAAGGTCAAGCCATGCGATTGAATAATTCTTATGGATCTGACTTGTCTCAGTTTGGAACTAAGAGGATTTCACACAAGCCTGGGTGGATTGGAATTCTGATTGATGGTGAAACCTACAAATTTGAATGGGAGGGAGGCGAGAAAATCACAAACATTTCCTACCATGCAACTTTCTACCAGTTTGGGGTAAATCATACAAAGTTAGATGGATTTTGAAATGAATTTTAATATTTTTTCATTTACCTTGATACATGAATGTTAACATTGGTTTGTATTTTTACTGCAGGACCAAGCAAACAATGTAAAGGTCTGTCAGCGCTTTGAAAGGAAACCCGATCGATTTGCATTAGATGGAAAGACCTTCCGCAATCAGTCAGACACTGCCATGGTTTTCGGCACAAATAAAAATGGTGACTGGGAATTCAATGAGTCAGATTACGAGCTCTGCTATTTGGGTAAGCAGTTTCATTCTGATTCTGAGAGAGTAACTGATAAACCTGTCTATAATTTATAACAAACTTTGAGTACCTTACATATACAGGGTATGTCCTTCTTAAGTGTCAAATGCAGTTGTGTTCAACATATTTTATTTTAGATATTACTTCCAAATGACTCTTTTCGTATGAACATTTTATTTATGAATATGAACTTTTATATATATCATGCTTAATGTGTAAGAATATGAACATTTTGTATTGGGTACCTGTATGACTTTTCTTCTAAATTTAGTTTCTGGTAAGAAAAGCCGTAGGAGAAAGAGGGGTTCTGGAGCCATGCCTGTATATGCAGAGGATGTAGATTCTCACATGACAGCCTTCAAATGTTACTACACTAACTGTGTACCTCCACCTGACCCAGATACCATTCCCCCTACATGCACGCGACCCTCCAATGCCACCAAGTGGTCAGATGTGGCAAGCTGGCAGACTGCTGAGGCTGGGTGGGGCGGTAACCTGGGAAATGGACAGTTTGGACTCCCCAAACAGGGTGATAAGGTCAAGATCCCTAAAGGCAAGTAGTATGGAACCCTGATAGTGCCAAAATTATATGTTGCATAGAACTATGTAAAAAAAAAAAAGACAACATTTTTTCTTCAATGTATTTATTATATTTATCTTTACGTCATGTAGGTTACTGGGTCATCTTGGACGAAGCAATCCCTAGTTTCACAGAATTGGTCATCGAAGGAACTCTTGAGCTTGATCATGGGCCAACTAAAGACAATGATATTACCATTGATGTGACCTATCTCTATATTAAGGGAGGAAGACTAATTATTGGTTGTCAGGAGTCAGCTCCCTATGAAGGTAAAGCCTCCATTGTATTACGTGGTGATGCCAACACTCCTCCCTACCCTGTGACAGAAGGACCCAATGTAGGATCAAAAGTTATAGGTAAGATTACTTTAAGAATGTTCTATGGGCTCTTAGGTCAGAAATTTTGTAGAAAAATAAAACAAAGAATTATTGTTCTTTCTTTTATTTATCACCATCATTAAATATTATTTATTATCATGTCAAAATAAAAATAGAGTTTCAAACTGAAGAAATACACTTTCCTGTTTATATACAGCATACTGATTAACTTTATTTGGTTATGTAAAAGTACACACAATGTATGGTAATAATGCATTTATTTTTGGCCTGTAATAGGTGTCTTTGGTGGGTTGGACTTGCATGGGAAGAGTCACACTGTTACTTGGACAACTCTCTCTCAGACCAGTGCCTCTGGAGATAACCAGATTTCACTGACTCAGGCCGTGGACTGGGCAGTCAATGACGAGATTATTATCACCGCCACCAGCTACAAGGCATGGGAGGTCGAGATCAGAAAAATCAGTGCCATATCAGCAGACAAGAAGACACTGACACTGGATTCAGCCCTCACCCACAAGCATATCTGTAAGTGTAAAATTTTTGTGTATCAAAATTTTATTATCATTAAGAATATTTTGGTGAAAAATTGCAAAAAAAAAAAAAAAAAAAAAAAATGGAAATCAATATTGAGCATAAATCAAAACAAAACATTCATGATAATTTATGGATGAATTCGAAAACAAAGTTGTGCCATTGAAGATGGTTACAAATTTTTTATGCAGCCATGGAAGAGACCTTGAGTAACGGAGAGAAATACTCCATGAGGGCGGAGGTAGGACTTCTGACAAGAAACATCAAGATCGTCGGAGCTGAGTACCCCAACATCTACTCTGATTCTTTCGGTGCTCGCGTCCTTGTTGGCGTTACTGCTGATGCCACCAGGCGTTACACAGGTATGTTTCTGAGAAGAAATGACTTTCATGTTATGATTTTGTCAGTTAAAATATACGAATATTTTATTGAAACTTGCTTGCACATATTTTTTACTGGAACTTCCGTTTTACATTATAGCGTAGTAGGATTGTACTGTACATTTGTATTTGGAAATCTTGTCAAATGAATCATTCATGCGACATCTGGTTATCTGTTCTTGTGTTATCGTTAATTGTTATTCAAATTTTTTTATTTTTTCTGCTTCTCTTCTGATATGAAATTTCAGCCTCAGAAAAAATGATACCAAGCTCATAGACCTTTTGTACATGTACATTGAGGGTATCCCTAATGGAAATAATGTATGTAATATTGGATCCTGTACATGTATTGTAGGATTTGCCAGGATTTCCAATGTTGAGTTCAACAGAGGAGGACAGGAGGGTTTTACTGCCACCTATGATCCTCGCCACTCCCTCAGCTTTGTGGATATCCCTATCTCCAACATCAAGCCATGCTACGTCAAACAGAGCAGCTTCCATCACAACCTGGGTATTGCTATCGGAGTCTATGGAACCAATGACCTGGAAATCCAAAACAATGTAATCCATCACACCATAGGATCAGGTAATGCTAACAAGACACATTCTGTTTAAATACTTATGATATCTTATAGTACCTATAATACCAAAACCCAGCCGAAGAAATATGATGTCTAAAAGTTGAAATTTATCTGTAATCTATATATATTTCAAAAAATAAATAAATGCTTCCATTTTTATCACTAAATTGAAAAGCAACATATATTTATGATATTTACCTAATGTTCAATTCTAAAATATTCAACAGTGTGTATTGATTTCAATTTGCAGCAATCCACACCAAATCCAGTGGTACTGCTATCCGTAACAACTTGATCTCTCTCAACATTTGGCCTGGCTCTTATAATGGTCGCTCAGAGGAATTAAACATCTATTATGATGGGTCTGTGGATGCAATTGGTGCAAGTGGAACAATCTTACAGGTAATAGCACTTAATGTGTTAAAAAAATAATAATAATAAATATGTATTTTGAATGTTAAAATATTCATGACCATCGTGATTGTTTTTTTTTTTTTTTTTGGAAAAAAAAATTCAGATGAAAATTTTTAAAATACTGAAATTGTGATTTTGAAGTCTTGGTAAACTTTTTTTGTAGGGCAATGCCATCTCCTCATCTGAACGCTCTGGATACCATGGAGATTTTGAGAGCTGCACCGCGACTGACACATGGAGTGACAATGTCTTCCATTCCAATCTGATGGCCGTCGGTCTCTTCCCTATTGACAAAGTCAACCCCCCAACCTGTTGGAGAATTGCCAACATGTCCATTTGGAAGAATTATAACTTTGGAGTTTATTATCAGAGGTATAAAAATATAATTATCTTCAGAACAAATTTCCTTTTTGTCTTTTCAACTTTACATTGGAATAATTAACTAATATATTGAAACAAATTATTATCTTTATTACTGGTACATTTTATTAGTATTTTGCAATCTTCTCAAATTTGGAAACAAAATATATTGGAAATATTTTTTCAAGATTATTCAGATGGTCAATTCTAATTCCAAGAGTATTTTTTTTAGATTTTCCGTTAATATTTCGGAAATAATCGTGGGTAAAACATTTACATTTAGTAATCAGTTTCCACAAATGGGGTTTGTTAAAAAGGAAGAGGATTTTGTTAATGATGATATAATATATTTATTGATTGTAAATTCTGGAACACACAGAACACAAAAGTTAACCTACAGTGAAATATTTCCTTACAGTCAGTATGAAATCATCATGGAGAGGCTGACACTGATTGACAACAATGTGGGAATTTTCCCTCTGATCATAGGACCTGCAGCTCTTGATCATTTATATGAGAACAAACAAGTCACTATTAGGAAAAATCTGATCGTCGGAAAGTCTTCCGTCTTCGATTGTGCGAATGATAAGATGGACTTCACATTACCTTACTTCACACTGAGAAGAACATTTGACAAGTCCTGGAGAATTGGCACGGCAGGAAGAACTGGAATCTCTATCACAGTCTTCAGCTCTGGCCCCAATAATTCCCCCGAAAAACCTTTCATTGGCATCATGGCTTACAATGCCATTGGTGGCTTTACCACAATTTCTGGTAGGTACTGGAAGCACATTGGGTTTTTTTTAACATTGTTTTCAAGTTACATGTACATGTATCTGATATAAATATGCACATTTTTTTTTCTGATGGTTCAAGTTTGTATGGAAATTGAGAGTCTTAATTAATCATTGGTAATTTTATAAAATATATTTAATCGTTTTTTGTTGTTTTTTTTTTGTTCCAAGTAATGAAGCTTTTCAGTTTGACATAAAATATGTATCACTCTAGTATTTAGTTTTATAGAATGGCAGGAAAATGTATTTTTGTAATAATTTTCTTTTTTCCCTATCAGATAACACCTTTGCCAACTTCCAAACGGGCTCCTCAGGGGAATGTGGCCAGGATGTGGTTTTGACAACTGATCCCAGCAACGACGATGCATGCCACCCCACCCAGCTTACAGGAAACAGAAAGGTCAGCGTGGGAACAGAAAATACTGTATACTATCACAGGCCAAGGCTAGGGTAAGTTTTATTGCATAGCCAAACTTTGTTTTTCAGTAAAACATTTTTTTTTTTTTGCGGCTTTCAGATTAAATAGAAATTGCCTTTGAACTTTCGCATAGCATCTCATTGTATTTTATATTAAGCATGGATAGAATTAAGTATGTCAGACATTGGCAGGATGAAGATTTAAATCGTATGTTTAACTTCACTCTCACAGCAAGATAAACCCCTCTGACTGTGTTGACATGGACTGTGATGGACACAAGAAGTGTGTTGTGGTTGACACAGATGGTTCCCTGCTGGGCAGTCCCACTACAGTGGTGCCACAAGCTGAGTTTGAGTGGGACGGAGACCCGCGCCGTGGTCTGGGAGACTACAGAATCCCCAAACCTATTCTTACAGCCCCAAGCGGTGCTGTTCTTACCGTTGACCAGGTTGCCAAATATAAAGGTATACAGAATCTATCTGTATTGGGAATAAAATAAGTTTCCTTATTTAATGATATTGATGTGAAGAATTATGTTGACATCATATATATGGTACATTGTGCAATATCGTCGTTAAGAATCATACTGAGTGTTTCACACAATTTTTAATTTTTTTTTTATTAAACATAAATATTCATAGTAAACATATGCTATATGTGGTCCAAAAGCCATGGCATTGACTTGACCTTTACTCTTTGTTTCTGTAGGTGTTCTCCGTGATGATACCTGTACCTACAATGACAAACAGCAGGCCTACACTTGTTCTGATTACAACTACAAACAGCTGACCATTGAGAACATGGACGCTGACACCGAGTTAAGGCGTCTGTCCCCTGTCGCCGTCCTCGGCTGGAATGATAAGGGAGATGGTTTCATGGATCTTATCAATGGACCCCAGGACCATGGTTGGTGTGCTGGGTACACCTGTCAAAAGAGATTGTCCACATTCCAGGCCATCACTCCCATTGGTCAGTGTCCAAAAGTCCTTTTTTTATTCAATACGTACAATTTTTTAATTCAGCTAACTTTTGCAAATTGCAGCTATACATGTTTGTATTTGTAAAATGCAAAATTATCCACATATGATATAACCTTTTTCATAAATGACAAATGTTGATTTCTATTGCAGGAAGAAACTTTTCTCTGTACTTCACCAGCACTGCACCCCAGCACCTTCGTTTGATGCTTCTAAGCACTCCCAAATCAGAACGTATCCGTGTTGGAGCCTACAATGGTAAGCCAAACCGATTGGATGTGTTTGTGAATGGAGAATATGTGCTGCCCAAAAATGGTCAATTGGATTCCAACAAGAACCTCATTCTTGAGTCTCCAACCACTGTTGGACAGTTCAATCCTAAAGTGGACACTGATCCTTGCGGCGCCAACTACATGGACCGAGACTGGCAGGAATTACAGGTCATTATCTGTGGAGGTGATGAAATAGAAATCAAAATGTCACCTCAAATTGTCGTTGGATTCAATGTGCCCACCATGACTGTGGACCAATTCTTTGGACCCAACCTCCTGAACAACTTGGCAACATTCCTGGGTATTCCTAGTGACAAGATCCGTACCATGAATGTTCAGTCAGGAGTCAGTCGCCGTAAGCGATCAACTGGAACCAATACCATGTATTACATTGAGGTCGGCAATCCCCCATGCATGACGATTAACTGTACATCAGCTGTTAGTACCATGTCCTTCACTGACCAGCAGGCTTTGGCATCTAAGATCATCAACCAGTATCAGGTCTGTATAATATTATAAGGGAAAATTCTACTTTGATTTATGTCTTTGTTTGCATTTTATTAACTGCTTGTTTTGTTTTCAGCTTGGCAATCTGTCTGACATCCTGAACATCACCATTAACAATGTCGCCGTGGCTGAGGCACTACCTCCGACCTCTGACCCTAACTGGGCCAAGGTCGTAGAGTCCACGGACTACATGAATGCCATTAGAATCCCGTCTGTGATGGAGTTTAAAACAGAGATCACACCAGGAACCGAAGGCAATGCCTTCCCTGTACAGCCCGTGCTTCAGTTCAGAGAGAGCAATGTAAGTAGACATAGATCTTTATGATGCATTATTAAGAAATGTGGATCAAAATAGACTGTGTTAAAGAAAAAAAGCATTTTGTCATGGAACCACAGAATTCATGTTAAAATGTTGCTTTTGTTTAGGATTGTGTGAATTAAATTGAAACATTTAGTACTCGTATGTGTATCTGTTAATTGATATGACACTGTATTTCAGTAGTAAATAAAATATTTGATAATTTTTCTTTTTCCCAACAGCCCAGTTCGGTAATGATTTGTTTTTGTGGTGTATAAATTTATGGGTGATTGTTGATATATAACTGAATTTTTTGGTAATATTCTATTGGATTTGAGCATGCAGGTTCAGTGGTTAACACAAATAAGGAATCTAATCTACATGTACATATTATATGTGTCTTTCCTTTTTATGTATATACATTTTTCGTATAAAATTGCTTGTTTTTGTATCCTCTGTAACAAATTACCTCCCTTGTCCTACTCAAATATATGTTACATTTTGTTTCTGTGCGTGCATGCCATGATTATAAAGCTGGTGATTCATGTTTTTAATTAAAGTGATAAGTTATGTAAATGCATGTATTTGTTCTTGGTAATTATGAATTATTTATTTTGTGTCTTTTCATCAGTCTGTTATTTTTTGTTTATTAATATTTAAACATTCAAAGAAAATGGTCTATTTACAGTTCAATTAGATGCAAATATTGAAGTCAATGCTGACTGCATACATGATTATTTTCACCCCAAGCTATACCGTAAATCTGGAAATTTTTACGTCGATTTATTTTTGCGAATTTGGGTCAAAAAGCTATTGATTAATTTTTACGCTTCAAATTTTTTCAAAATTGTCAATGGCGCTAAAAATAAAAATCACTGAAGATTTTCAAACCAGGTATTGTTTCAAATTAGTTTGTTTTCAGTTAGAATACCACCCATTTAACAATGTCAGAACATGGCAAGAAATTGCAACTGGGCCAAGGTCGTTCCACGGACTACATGAATGCAATTTTGATAAAATACATGTAAAAGGATTTGCAATGAAAATAACTTCTTAATTGATTATAACAAACATTTTAGAGGTTGTGTATGCCTTTAAACCTAAAATATAGTCCAAATGAAGTAAAAAATATAACTAATTTTCTCAACGTTTGGTTTTTTCTCACCTAAAATTTACACGCCGTGTTTACATTTGGAACTCTCTAGTAAATGCACTGAGTTCGAGTTATCGCCCGTGTTGATACAACGGTTAGATAAAATAACAATTCTCTCTTTATTGGCAAAATAATTAAAAAGGCATACCACCTCAGTGCTTGTCAAACCATTGGACGATATTGCATATAATGAGGGCAATTACAGTCAAGGGTAATTAACTTGTAGTTATAGTAGTATAAACAGGTTTCTTATATAAATGACCAGTGTTTAACTACACCTATTCTCCGAGTTAAAAAAGACACGAGCTCTCAGAAAAAAAATTCTTCACATGTTGATTTATATTTAAGAAAAATATTTTTGCGAATGCAATGCACACGCAAATTTGCTAAAAATTTATCTACAGTAAAAATTTCCAGATTTACGGTATTTCCATTGCAAAACAATTTTGACCTGTTTTAAATTCACCCAGACAATGTTTTATGTAAAGATAATGCACCCAGGTTTTTAAATTTGCTCACTTTTGACAAGGGCAAAGGAAGAAAAATAATTTATGGGTGACAATTTCAGTTATACAACTTATTTTTATAGCTGCATTGCTCAAGTAAAATGACCAATTTTTTTTCCATCAAAAAATAGATTATACTCTAAAGTTTGATAGGATATGAAGCAAAAGTTTGTTGTAGCTTCTCAAATTTACATCCAAGGTTGTCAACTTCTTTATTAATTTTAACAGGGAGACAGAGTAACCCTGCTGGGGGCCTCTTCTAAGCCCTGGAAGGTTGAGGTCAGTCTAAGAGCAGGTAGTGGCAGTAATCCCTCGGCCACACTGGTCGGAAACACCACTGTGTCATTCATTGATGGATGGGCCAACTTCACTGGACTGGGAATATCCCACAGTGGATCAGGGTGAGTAAACCAGAGACTTAGCCTCACAGTTAAAATGAGGTCATTTTCATAGAAAAACATGACAGAGTTATTGTATGTAATAAGGACTGATCATTTTACAAAATGATTGATCATTATATGTTTTTATACAGATTTTCATAGGTTTAGGAGTTAACAGATTTTGAAACATATTTACACATTTAATTGATTTTTCAGGTACATTTTGGATTTCAAGGTGATTGACCCATCAGAAGCGACCTTCACCCTTGCCTCCTCTCCTCTCAGTGTCGCCCAGCGATTACTGACTTCGGCCGTGACCTACACGTCACCCGACATCTACCAGGGTAGTTCACACACTGTCAATCTGGACATCAGAGACAAGGACACTGGGGTGACCCTACCAGACATTGCCTGGAGTGTAAGTTGTCACTGTTTGAAGCTGCTACTGTACTGTATTTTGTAGCATTACCTGGTGCATTTGGGATAATTAGTATATAAAAGAGAAGGTTCACTGTTGTTTATAGTTTGTTATAGTTTGATGCATGTGGTAGGTGGCAGCAGAGAATGAAATATCTGCAAAGATTGGCTTCTCTGAGGAAGTGATAATTAATAAGCAGAGTTTATTATTTTATTATAAAGAATTTTGATCCCTAGCTTTCTCAGAATATCCAAAAGAGAACCCAATATCACCCCCCCCAAACATCTACCACCCACTCCCAACCCCTCCCCACCAATCCTCTTTCCCAATGAAAATAAAAAATAAAAAAAAAAACACCATCTCCATCAGCAAGAAGAAAATTAATATCACAATATGAATCTGTGGTGTGTAGACACAGCTGATTTAATTTAAAAAATATCTTATAATGAATAATCAAAAAAAGATTGGATAGCAGGCACTGCCTATGTAAGTCATTGTCAGTTGATTTTGGTTGGAGATATGGCTAATCATGATATAATATCTACTACAGTAAAATACCAATGTTACAGTGGTATTTATTAATGTATGAAGAGTACATATGGACTTTTAGTGCCATTTCTTCCAGGTTAAATAGTCTCGTTATTATAACTGTTATTAAAACTAAAATAGAGTAAATTATAGTGAATATCTTTGTAAACAATTACGAGTAGATATCGAGCCTATCACTGCACACCAATTATTTATTTTTCATGTTTGCTGTCTTGGCATTTCAATGGACAAATTGGAAAAATATCCAAAAATTTTTTTTTCAAAAGTGTATTTGAGTTGTATTTAATTCAGGGACGTAGTATTGTTTTTGAAAAGTGGGGGTCAACCAGGAGTTAAAAAAATATCTTGCATAAAAAAACATTGACAAATACTTTGAGTTGTTTGTTTGTTTTTTGTTTTGTTTTGTTTTTTTGGTTGTTTTTATTTTTTAAAAACAGTCATAAAAATTAATTAAATTTCATCTAATGAGTAAAATAAAAAAAGTCACAAACTTGTGATAAAGAAGTTAATACCCGAATGTGAAGAAAATATCTAGTTCTGCCAGTATAATGGGTAAAATATAATGTATCAGGTTGTGATTTTTATGCACCTTTTTGAAAAGTGGGGAGTAAGTAGTCCATATCTCCCTCTGTAACCCGTGGATAAAAGATTTTCACAATTTTTTTTTTTTACGTATAGTGCCATTATGCATTTCCTCTTGTATGCTTTGGTTGGATACTTAGATATTTGGGGTCTCCTATTGCAAGAAAGTGTACTTTGCCATTAAATTCATATGAAAGTGGAAGGGGGGGGGGGGTAATATTTTGTGAGCTCAGTGCTCACAGTATCTCTTAGACAAGTTTTTGCATCTACCCTTGGTACTAGATGGTTTCTGAAGTGTTAGAAGAATAGGAGACTTATTTTGGATTAAGCATGCATGTATATTTAAGAAATGGTAGAAACATAATTAAAAGTCACTTTGTTGATCTTAATCTTTCCATGTTAACTTCTATAAATATATAAAACTAATTGCATTCAAAATTCTGTCCAACCTTTCATTTAAACTGTTTAACACAATACTCTGTAGTAAATAAGCCCACTAAAATCATAAAAATGAGTTTAAAAGTAATACCATGCGCATGAATTAGTGGATGAAAAAAAATACAAAATGCACAAAAATATAATTACATATACAATGTACTTCTGAAATAAGTATGGTAACAGCATTCCGTTTAAAGAAAAGCACATTGAAAAAACACTCTCCTTTGAGTGGGCATGAGAGGGACTGGTAAAGGCTTAAGGAGACACACGTTTTTTTTAAATTCAAAAGTTGAATTTTATTTTTCTCTGACAATGAATCTCTATAAATGTAACAGTTAATTTTTTTGAGCAGTAGCTTAAATTGGATTTTTTAACATTTCAGGGCTTGAACTGGTACGTGAATGTGACACAAATGACTGGAAACTCCTACACAGGTTCGTTGAGTGGAACATTCACCAAGGCCTTTAACCCGGTTACTGGTCTGGTGACCCTGAATGACCTCCAGTTAGACACTGTAGGAATGGCCTTCATCAAATTCACGGTGTACTCGGTACCAGCCCAGTATTCTCACGAGATCACTCATGACCTTTACCTTTACCCAAGCGAGGCTCAGACCGTTACCATAGATACCACCCACACGGTGAAGATCAAGTTTGACCGTGACTTTGCTACTTACGGCACCACAGAGTTTGGAGCTGTGATCGTTAACCACTTCCAGTCTAGGTACCCTTACATGAAGATGTCTAACCTGCAGGTCTCACAAGGTAGGAAAAGAAGTTGTTTTGGAATCTTTATAACACATACAGTTGTACTCCTTTGTTTAATATACTGAAATACTGTTTGGCTAGAATTTATCATGATTCTCTGAAAAAATTAGCATTGAAGGAGACTTACAATGAATTTTTTATCTGTTTTAGTATATATAAAATGATTCTTTGTATTATGATTTATGTATCCTACAAGTTTTTTTCATCTGTATTTTAAGCTGGTTGCATTTAGTGATGGATTGTAATGTTGTTTGTTGACAGGAAGTGTGGTCATTACCGTGACAGTTTCTGGCAACAGCACCACCGTCCTGGAAGTGACTGAGGCCTTGTGTACAGCCATTAAAAGTGGCACCACCTTCACTTACAAAGGAACCACCCATACTCTCAGTAAGACCATGTCAGTGAATGGGGCTGATTACTGTGATGATGAGGTAATTTAAATTGAATTTCATTAAATGGTATAGATAAACTAAGAAAAATACATTGCAGTGGATTGTATTTTGGATATGACAATATTATTTCATACATCACTGATAAAAAGAAGTCTATTGTGTAGTTTTTGCCTATATATAAAAGTAAAAGAAATCAGTTTGAGAGTAGAAGTTCACTTGTTACTGGATAAAAATTTTTTTAGAATCATGGAACATTAACAGTTATAGTAAAACATGCTTATAATGAATGTGCCTGTTGTAAACTTAGGATCATTGACAGTTGGCATCTATTCCCCAGTGAAAGGAAAAAAGTAAACATCTTGCCCTGGAGGGTCCACTGTAACCCTTTTTTTTTTTTGTATAATGATCATGTACTTTAACTCAGCTGTGATGCACTTTTATGTGAAATTGTTTTCAAGATAATTACTTTTACCAACATAGATGACTTTTCATAAAGTTCAACTTGCCTTCAGATCTCATAGGTCCATGCTGCTATTAGTGAGTTACGTGGTCTTCGGGGCATAGAAGTCTGTCTAAAATTATTACCAATAGAAATCAAGAACAAAATCTATTTTTATAAATCTTTCAAATTCTTTTTAATAATTATTTGTTTTTTTTTCAAACATTCACAGAGTTGACATTTAATTTTTTACATGTAGTTTTGACAACTTGGACAAAAATTCTTTCAAGCCCTATGCAATGTTAAAGTTTTTTTTCTTTCTTAAATGTCATTTTTCAACTTTTTGTCCAGCTTTTTTAGGGGGAGGAGAGTATAAATAAGTGCATTTTCAAATGCTAATTTTTTTTCGAGTAATAAATGAGGAAAAAAATTTTTAATATTTTTCTCAAGAACAACGGGGCTACTATCTGCCAGAGAAAAAATAAGGCATATTCAATTTTGATAATTTTATTTCAATCATAGACTTTGTTTAGAAATGAGACAACACATTTTTTTTTGAGAGAGAGAAAGAGATCTAGAGAGAGAATGACGTTAATGTCTCAAAAAAGGCAGACATAATTGGGTGACTGTTATAGTCCATGGGTCTTTTTCCCCCTCCTCTCTTTCCATACCTGCCTAGTGCTTGTTACATTTCTTTTCTTGACTTTCAAAGTAAATATTGCATTAATGATTAAATACTAACAGTTGGCATATGAACATTTTTATCTATTTAAATCCCTTTGTAAACAAGATAAGGTTTTAATTAGTTAGGCATATAAGGAAGTGGTTATGAAATTAATTGCCAATCGTAAACCACTCCATAATAAACAAGGTAGCTTAACGATTCAGTAAAACCCCATGTATGGCAATTATGTCAAAGATGAACACTCATATTCATTCCTTATATGATTATACGCATGAAGAGGTAAACAATTATTTTAGCTTTGCAATTTGGCAACATATGTGATACATTAAAGGTCGCTAGGACATCTTTTAAATTATTATGGGGAAAAATAACAAAGCAATAGCAATTGAGAAAAAATACTAATATTTTGAAAGTGCATGGTTAATAATGCATGTGTATAAGTTCAGGTATTGAGAGATTACAGAAGATGGTTAACAGTTTAGTTGGCCATCTGTGTTTTAATTGTTGGGGTTATGTGATCATAAACTTGTAAATGACTTTTGAATGATTTTTCTCTTAAATGAGAAACAAAAGCCTTGATCCACTTATTTTTAGACATATGGAGAATATGTAGTGGTGGTGATGGAAAATTTCTAAATTGCTGATCTGTGTATAAGAATTTATAATCATGGAAAAGTATTTAAAATTGCTGTCTGTTAGTGTTAATTTTTTTGACTTGTGCGAAAGCATGCATTGCACTACTTAAAGATCATATTACTTGAATTGTCATATCCACTTTTAAACAGTACATTTTTGGAGTGTTTTAGTAATAAATTTAAATCATCTTAACCTTTCATTGTGCATTTATTATGTGTATACATGTACCTTAAGTTTTCATGCATGTATTGATACAGGAAGATGAATTCTTTACATGTTTAAACTTGGGTAATATATGTTATGAATGCATGATAGATTGCTGCATTTGATGTACATTTCTGTTTTATTTTTCCAAAGATATGTGAATTTATTATATACTAAGCAGAAATTACACTGATTCCACACTGTGGGATAAGAGTGATGTCACGATAGCTCAAAATTAATGACTGCATGGTCCGAAAACCCTTATCATAACTTTGGCCCTCGATCATGCTGATATGGGGCCCTGGGGCCTGAATTATAAATAATGATAAGAATTTTAGCATGTAATATTCTCTACATATGATACAACATTGACACATTCTGTCTCTGGTTTTTCAGGATGACAAGGATAAAGAAATCAAGATTCTGATGATCGTCGGCATCTGTATTTCCATCCTGCTCATCATTCTCATCGTTGTGGCCATTATGGTCTGGAGACTCAAAGTCTACCCCAAGACAAAGACGCACAGTAAGTCATCAAATCATTGTATTTTATTAAACAATTTTATCAGCTTTGCTGTTGACAGCAAGTAACAAGTTTTAATTGCCAGAGTGAACTATTCAGTAGAGTTATTGGACTTTCTTTAAAATATGCAGAGTCTAAATAAATGACGAATTGTTACTAAGAGAATTTTAAAAAGCTTAGTTGAAACCTGTATTGCTGACAGATTAGATAAATAACCACTCTGTTTTAGTTTAGGAGTAGACTTTTTAAGCCATTTGTGGTGATTCATGCATGTAATATTCCAGTTCTTTTCCTGCTAATTTACATTAATAAGGTGTTCCTCCTCCATATTTCCTGGAAAAAAAGAACATTAAACGATAGAGAGGGAAGATTTCGCACCACTGCATTGTCCTAGTTAATTCAAAAAATAAAGGATCACATCGCTGCTAGGACATATTGATTTGATGTGCATCCACTGAAAATGGGACAGTTTTTAGAAAGATATTAAACCTTTCAATTCAAAGTCAAGACAAGGCCCAAAAGAGAACCAGTTTTTTTTTTTAATTTCATTATGACTATTGTGTCTTTTTTGGTGTTGCTAGACATTCTAATTTGCACCTGTTTCTGATCTGTCAGCAATTGTGCATTAATTGAGACATGAGAGTATACTCTTTTTTTTCATGTAAAATAAATAGGGTTTTATAAACAAGGTAGGAGAAGATCATTTTTCATGGAATACAGGGTCATTCACCTGCAGTCCTGCAGCTTTATGCACCAAGAATATTTATGAGGGAAATGTTGATTGTTTGTGCAAAGGAGCAGTGATTTAAATTATGCAACACTTATCAATGTTTTTAGTTGTGTTTACATTTTTTTTCAAAATATCCTGATAAAAGATTTAGCCCTTTATTTTCTTCTGGATCAAAAACAGAAACTTCTTATCCAAAAATTTATAAGTAAATTTTAAGTAATTTTCAAAAGCATGAATTAAATTTATGCATCATTTAACAGGAGGTAGTATATCTGGAGGATCAGGTAATAATGATAGAAGGCTGTTTACTAATGGGGTTCTCAAATGTTTCTTAAAATTTAACAATTTTTTTTCATTTTTCCTTCATCCTTATATAGGCTTCATTGTTATATACTTAAAATATAAAAACTTACACATCACACACATAAGCACAAACATGTTGTATTTGTTGTGAGAACTAAAGACACACATATTTGAATGTTTTTAGTTTTAATTTCCCTAATTGTTTAGTACATGTGTACCTACATCTACATGTGAAGAGCCACATACACCCTAATATACTTTTTGAAAAAGTTTTCCAGTACAGTCTTTGTTTTTAATATTTTTTATCCTTAACAATTGTTGTAATTATACTTGTACTTCACAAAATTTAATGGCAGCTTTTTGGTGAAAGAAATAGTGGTTATGGGTAACATTGAAATTGTATACAGTGGATAAAGATTTTTTTATCTCACCTGCGCCAAAGGCTTAAATGAGCTTTCCTGATCAAAATCTGTTCTTTGTCTGTTTATGTCAGCACCAGCCTGCATTGTCCTAAACCTCAATTTTGTTCAAACCATATGACTCCTGGGGATGGATACAGCCAGTATGTGCAATCAAAGATTTAAATTTAATTAAGTCCAATTAAGGTACATTGTATGTGGAAACATCCTCCAGTAGTGTAGATTTAATTTTGATGAAATCATGACCCCAAGGAAAGGTTCGGGGCATCATTGGCATTGAAAGTTTTAAATAGAAATACATGTATGTAGAAAAATCCTCTTTGAGGGAACAGCAAAACTTTAATCACATTTATTTTGAAGCTTCATAAAATACTTTGGATTTTAGCATGTTTTATCTCATCTGAGCCAAAGGCTCAAATGAGCTTTTCTGGTCAAATTGTGACCCCAGGGAATAGGATGGGGCCACAATCAATAGTCAAAATTTTGCTAAGAATATACTTGTACATGTATAGGAAAAGTGTTATAAGGTCTTTATCTTTAGAACAGCTAAGCCATGATTACCATGGTAGTCATTCTTAAGTATGGAGCATCCTAAATACTTTTAAGTTTGTTCAAATCATGATGCCTGAGGCCAAGGTAAAGTAGGACACAATATATTATCTTAATTTTATATAGAAATATATAAAAAGGAAGGATAAAAAATAGAAGAGTCATTGTAACTCAGGTGTGCAAAGTGGCCCCCTGGACCTTTTGTTTTCTTGAGATGACCTTGTTTTTCTGTACGGTTGACATACAGAAAAATTGTTACAAAACCAGGTTTGGGCATTCAAGCATGTTCAAATATTGGCATTTTTGCATTAAATATTATAATAATCACAGTATAATGTACTTTGCAATAAAGTCTGAGCCTTTATGAAAGTGTGTTTATTTGCAAATATGAAGAATTGCCAACATTTTCTATTTGTTTCTTGAAATTCAATAGCATTTATGTAGGTTATACATCTGATATGTCAAAACTGTGTAAACTAATCTCTAGTGAAATGTGCCTGTCTGTCTTTAGGAATGCATTCTGATGGTGATGCTGTTTACATTGGGAAGGGCAAAGGAACATTCTTCTTTGAGGACAGTTTCTACAGACAGGATACGTTTAACAGCCTGCGTACAGAAAAATCGTTCTTAGAGGACGGTCAGAAACCACCCATCACAACATTCTATGGTGCCAACAATGGCCCACCCCCTGTCACCACATTCTACGAGAAGGGCACTAATGGCCCAGCACTCAGCAAACACTTCTAGAGTAACACTATTAAACATAGACTTTGTTTGTTAATCTTTTTCTGCTATAGATATTAATGGGCATGAAAGCCTTATCTAAAACTATGGCAAATTATATACATATTTATTTTTGAACATTGAGTTAGTTAAGTTTTTTTGATGTTTTGTTAACTTATTTTCTCTATTTTTGCCTGTGATATATAGCCTGTGATATAAAGTTTATATAAGTAATATATTTGTTATTGTTGACAATCAGCAAAAAATTATAAATCTTAGTTAATAAACTTCTGAACCTTGCTGAGTGACTTGTTGATTTTAAAAGATGAGTTCAGAATTAGAAGATGACATTTAAGAGTTGGAATTTAAAAACAACTTTTTAAATGAAAATCTTGATGTGATGATGAAGTTTAAATATTGCATGTACTTAATAACTATATGACTGTATATATAAATGTCACAGCAAAGTAGTCAATCACACTTAGAAATTAACATAAAAAAAATTAAGATAGAAATCATGTGGATCCTGCATGTTGAAATAATTGTCTCTGTCTCAGAAGATAATTGATTAGATATTTTTCTTTTTATTATCTGTGGGATGTAGGTCTAAAAAGGTTTTGCGAGCTAGTCGTTTAATGCCAACTTGTACAAGAAGTAATTTCATAGGTCATAATTCTTGAGCTCGAGATCTTATATAGTTGGCTTGATCAGAAATTTCTTACACATGATTATCATGGGGATTTGAAGAGACATTATAGGTGTCTATCTTTAACCTTTGGAAAATGATAAGTGAAAATGATTTTCGCAGTTGCTATAGATTCTAGTCAGAGCTGCAATAATCCATCAAACAAATGGACCTTAAGGTGTTAGACAGTCATAACAAATTAATTTCCAGAAATATCAAACATTTTTCCTCACTCAAGGAAGTTGGGGGAGCTAACATGTGATATACCGTCAGTGTTGAAGGTTAAAATTTTTGGAGCAGTTTCTGTTTAAGTACTTCTCTGCCCTTCATTAACATAGAAGCATGGAAGTTGCTTCTAGAGTGTTTCATTGTATTAGTCAAGGTTTCAGATGCTGCAATTTCAGCAAAGGAATGACCAGGTTAATTTTTTTAGAGCAGATTAAAGCTCACTCACTCACTCAGAACATTTGTAAAAGGAATTTGTATGCCATATTCTTTCATTCATTTGTCATAATTTGGGAGTCCCTGTATAAGCTGTTCACTTAGTCACTGTTCAGTGTAATGAATTGTCACCTATGTAGATGGACACAGGCTATGTACAGCACTCGGTAGCTACAAAAGTAACCATCTACTTCTTTAATGGCAGAATCATCACTAGCCAATGCAAGGGTTTCTGATAAGCTACTCTCCTCATAATTCTTGTTAATTATTCTTTAAAAACTTCGTGATTTAAATACGTTATTTATTTCTGTTGAAGACACAATTTGTACGTATCTGTTCAAAATTCGAGATCAAGTGACCAAAACATTCGTGACTTTTCACAGCACCATATGCCAAGGGATTATTAGGACAGTAGCGTACGTATCAGAAACCCTTGGCTAGCGAAGATGCCATGGCAGGAGAGTAAGATAACAAAAAACAGTGCAGTATACAAACAAACACATACATGTATATGTAATAAAATGTAAAACGAAGGCAATGTAGGAAAACCAGTATGAACATGTGTCACCTTTGCATTTCGATACCTGTGACAATAAAGCAGTCAGGTGTTATGAATGGGAAGGGTATACCCTGGTGCAGATACTTTAGATAGTACAATCAAATATGGCATATATGCCTATTTACAATTCATGTTCATCTTTAAGGTTTTGGAGTAGATTATAAAATAGTTATTGGAGTAATTCTCATTTCTTATTTTAAAATTATAAGCCCTAGGTAGACCAAACTTGCACAAATGATACATTTAATGATGCACAGTACCAGGCTTGCTTTGGATGCTGGATCTGACCATTTTCAGATGAGTGACCAGGTTAAAATTTTTGGAGAATTAAGCTCTGTCTTCAAGTAACTTTAAAGCCTTTGTTGACCAAACTTGCATGGATGTGATGATGAAGTTTAAATATTGCATGTACTTAATAACTATATGTCTGTATATATAAATGCCACAGCAAAGTAGTAAATCACACTTAGAAATTAACATAAAAAAAACTAAGATAGAAATCATGTGGATCCTGCATGTTGAAATAATTGTCTCTGTCTCAGAAGATAATTGATTTGATATTTTTCTTTTTATTATCTGTGGGATGTAGGTCTAAAAAGGTTTTGCTAGCTAGTCGTTTAATGCCAACTTGTACAAGAAGTAATTTCATAGGTCATAATTCTTGAGCTCGAGATCTTGTATAGTTGGCTTGATCAGAAATTTCTTACACATGATTATCATGGGGATTTGAAGAGACATTATAGGTGTCTATCTTTAACCTTTGGAAAATGATAAGTGAAAATGATTTTCGCAGTTGCTAAAGATTCTAGTCAGAGCTGCAATAATCCATCAAACAAATGGACCTTAAGGTGTTAGACAGTCATAACAAATTAATTTCCGGAAATATCAAACATTTTTCCCACTCAAAATTTTGCTGCATTTCATATCTCTCTATTTTAGTTCACCCCAAGGAAGTTGGGGGAGCTTATATGTGATATACCGTCAGTGTCGAAGGTTAAAATTTTTGGAGCAGTTTCTGTTTAAGTACTTCTCTGCCCTTCATTAACATAGAAGCATGGAAGTTGCTTCTAGAGTGTTTCATTGTATTAGTCAAGGTTTCAGATGCTGCAATTTCAGCAAAGGTTAATGTTTTTAGAGCAGATTAAAGCTCACTCACTCACTCAGAACATTTGTAAAAGGAATTTGTATGCCATATTCTTTCATTTGTCATAATTTGGGAGTCCCTGTATTAGCTGTTCCCTTAGTCACTGTTCAGTGTAATGAATTGTCACCTATGTAGATGGACACAGGCTATGTACAGCACTCGGTAGCTACAAAAATAACCCTCTACTTCTTTAATGGCAGCATCATCACCAGCCAATGCAATGGTTTCTGATAAGCTACTCTCCTCATAATTCTTGTTAATTATTCTTTAAAAACTTCGTGATTTAAATATGTTATTTATTTCTGTTGAAGACACAATTTGTACGTATCTGTTCAAAATTCGAGATCAAGTGACCAAAACATTCGTGACTTTTCACAGCCCCATATGCCAAGGGATTATTAGGACAGTAGCGTACATATCAGAAACCCTTGGCTAGCGAAGATGCCATGGCAGGAGAGTAAGATAACAAAAAACAGTGCAGTATACAAACAAACACATACATGTATATGTAATAAAATGTAAAACGAAGGCAATGTAGGAAAACCAGTATGAACATGTGTCACCTTTGCATTTCGATACCTGTGACAATAGAGCAGTCAGGTGTTATGAATGGGAAGGGTATACCCTGGTGCAGATACTTTAGATAGTACAATCAAATATGGCATATATGCCTATTTACAATTCATGTTCATCTTTAAGGTTTTGGAGTAGATTATAAAATAGTTATTGGAGTAATTCTCATTTCTTATTTTAAAATTATAAGCCCTAGGTAGACCAAACTTGCACAAATGATACATTTAATGATGCACAGTACCAGGCTTGCTTTGGATGCTGGATCTGACTATTTTCAGATGAGTGACCAGGTTAAAATTTTTGGAGAAATAAGCTCCGTCTTCAAGTAACTTTAAAGCCTTTGTTGACCAAACTTGCATGGATGATACATCTAAGGATGTACACTACTTGTCTTTTTTCAGATGCTGGATTTGAACTACATTTTCCAGATAAGCTACGACCTGTTACTGAAATGGTCGCCAGGTTAAAGTTTTTGGCACATGCCCATTAGGTAAGAAACTATAAGGCCTATATCTGAACCAACTTGCATGGAAGATACATCATGGGGTGAACACTCTCTTTGTTTTTGATGCTGGTTGCATTTTCTAGATTTTTGACTAGTTTGACATTTTTGAATTTTAATTGACCTACTTTTCAAAAATTTAAACATTACTTTAAATTGGTAATAACTTTTGAAATAGAAAAGGTAGTGCTTTATTTTTTTCACTCCAATCTGACATAAAAGCCAGACCTCTATTTATACTATCGCATCCTTGCGACATATAAAAAAACGAGGAGCGGATGGAAGATCTAATTTTAATTATATTGCATATTATACACGTGTATTACCTGTGACAATGCCTCTCTAAATATACTAGGATTTGTTATCCTGTGACCTTGAAGTTTGATCGCTTGCCCCACTCCTACTATTTTCATCAGATGTCCAATAAACAAGGAATTAATTTGGTGTGTTCTAAATGTAAAGACACCATGTACAGATTGTGCTTCAACCTTTCTTTAGTTCAGTTTACAATATTTTTACCTACATCATTAACATTCTCTTCATCAGGGACTTAAAGTAAAAAGCTAGTGTCACTTAATTGCTCCAGAAAATAACAAAGTCCATGTGAGTTTGTGTTTTTATTTATAATGCTGCTGCCTCATTTACATAATGTCAAACCATTCTGTGCAATGCCAAGTTTCTTTTCAAATATAGTTTTAGTTACATTTTATCCTAAGTTATAGACTTTAAAAATTAAACCATTTTTAAATTTCATATAGGCATAAAATAGAGAAACCATTTCATGGCAAAAAGAGTAAAAGGTGAGAACAGTAGCAACAGAGAAAATTCAGACTTTGGTAAATCACAATATAAATATATAGACCTTATCTCTTTATAAATAGGCACATTTTCAGAAAAAAAAAAATGTACTTATTGAATCACATTTTTTTTAACAGACCCACAAAATAATGATTAAACATATCTGTACACAGAGGTCAAGGCCACAGAAAATTTCCCAATATACACCCTGGGCCTGATCCAAAGCACTTAGTTCTGATACTAACAACGGCCAAGTAGCACTGAATGTAGCAAAGAATATCGACAAAATTATAGCATCATAACAACAGAACAAACATATATGTTCCAAGTTCCTTAATTAAAGAGCATTTAAAAAATACATGATCATTACTTAACATTAAAGATAAAACTCTGGAAAAAATAACAAGTACATATGAAAAGCAACATTCAATGTTAAATATCTACAAAGTGAACGACCAGTAATTGCATTCTTCAGCTACAAACATTGTTTAACAAGTATAGTTATTTTGCCTATTTATTATAGACTTTCATGGCAACTAATTGCATAATGCATATAAATGTAATTGAACCAATTACATAAAATGTCTGCATTCTAAGTGTTTTTCTATAAGAATTTTGTTTGTTTTATAGTTAAAATTGTAGAATAATTTAAAGAATTCCAATTTTCTTTGCTTCCTTTATCATCCTCGTAGACAAATATGAAAAAAATATTTATGAAAAACCAAGTACAATACTTATTTTCAGATGTACCATCTACATGTGCAAGAACAACAAGATCATTTTAAAAAATCACAATATCTTTTAAAGTACTTCAGTGTAATAAACAAAGTCACCAACATCTCTAACATACTTAATTATCAACAGATATCCAAGGAACAAACATTAAAATATACAACAACAACAACAAACAAATTATCCAGCTACAAAGACTTTAGCTCTGCACAGATGTGAAATGTACATTAGTCGATGAGAATGCACCAGTTAAAATTACAAAGGGTAAAAAAACAATAAAAATGACAAATGATAATGATTCTGAGATCGTTACTATTTACAGATGATTAGCAACAAATAACTTATATATCATTAATGAATCTGTAGCTATTTACAAGATGGAAACATGAAAATTGCAAGATCTCTTCTTCGAGCTGCTTTGTGGTGGTGAGAATGGACCCTCTCCTCAGAATGCCTGTAGACTGGTCGGAATCTGCCCATTATACGCACTGTTTAACAGACTCCACAGTTTTTTCCATGTGTCTGGCTGAAAATCGTTTTTCAGTCCTTCAGCAATTTTAATGCAGGAACTACCATCAAAGGTGGCAGACTTGACAATGTTTTTGAGTTTGGAGGGTTCGAACAATCGGAGCACTGACTCCACCAAGTTATAGTCTTTCTTTTCAATGGCATACATGAGGGGGGTCTTTCCACTCTTCTTGTCCTGTGAAAATATTGAAATAATTTATTTTAAATTATATATATTTTTTAAAAATACTAGAACATTTCAAATTTTTTTTACTTTACCCCATATATTGTAAACCAAATTTTATTCGCGTGTGTGAAATTTTTGTGAAATTAGCGAGAGCCTCATCATCACAAATATTTCTCACTGCAAACCGGTCCTTAAAGTGTATGTGTCTGTTAAAAACAGATCCAAAAAGGCTTGGTTGCGAAAATTAATCGTCAACTAGTCTATCCTTGGTAAATCCCCAAATAAAGTCGTTAAAATGAATAAAAGTTGGTTTACAGTGCATTCTTTACGTAAATTTAAATGTGAAACCAACGTAATTAAATAATGTATTTTTGAGTTTAAGTGTCTAGACATAGTGTGGACATGACAGAAATCAGACAATGTACTTTTAATACTGATTATAATTAAAGATAATTTGTTGCTGAACAAAATATTTCTATTTTAGATACCTGAGAATTAGGATCAGCCCCAGCTTTAATTAACGCCTCAATGATGGAGAGACTGTTCACGTAGCCATTTCCATTTCTCTGAGCTCGTCCATGAGCCAAGATGGCACAATGTAGGGCAGTGTGACCTAAAATACAGCAATTTGACCTCATTTTTTTTCTTCAAATTTGCATAGTACAAGAGATAGTTAATATATCTTATAGATCATGAAGTCAATGGAAGAATATTAAAATACTAAGCTCACCTTCTGAGTTTGCAATGTTGAGAGAAAGGTCTTGAGATTTGAGTAGCTCATTTAAGGTGCTTAAGAATTCAACACCATTGGAAGATGCCACGTGAATAGGGGCCTTAACTTCCATGGACTTTCCATCTTGTGATACAACCTGAAAAACCAATTTACAATTTGTAACCACATGTAAGTGCATTACTGGTACATATGGTACATGTGAAAAAAAAAAGTTTTTTTTTTACTAGGATATAATCATATAGTTATACAAGTTTTTCCCTTCCTGATAATTCACATTCCACTGACCTGTGCCATACTGTTTGGGTTGGCATTTCTCTGAACAAACATGGCCACCATCTGAGGCTGATTGGCAACAACAGCTAAGTACAAAGGTGTCTGAAAAAGAAAATTAATTTTACCAAATGAATACAGAACACTTTCAAATATGATAAATATTTTTTTGTACATTTCCCTTTTATGCTAAAATTATGTTCAATATAAGTGTCTACCTGTCTGTGTTTGTTTTCAACATCAATCATCTGTGAAAGATTTTCACGCATCAGTCGCTCCAAGAGGGCCAGCACCATGTTGGAATCTGTTTTGCAAACAGCCACATGGAGGTAACTACAAACAAACATACAGACAAAATTAAGCAACTACCAATGACATCAAATAATTGCAACCTCTAATTACCCCCTCTTCTTTGACGTAAAAGCCACAGAGGTGACAATGAGTCATAAAATGTCTTTTATCAAATTGTTTACTGTCTACAAAAACAGAGCAGTAATGACTTGCAGGCATTTTGTCTATCTACCTCCATTTTTTACTGCTATTATTTTATTATATTTTATTCTATACTGGATTTGTTAATACACGTGGATTGGGAGTGTTTTTGAAGTATTTTATCTCTGCTGGCTCCAGAAAAAAATCAATACAAGGACATGACTGTCTGAAAAGTCATCTGAAGGAGAGATATAAAACCTTTATTATGATGTTTAGCTCTGGAAAAAAAAAACATCCCGGAAAACTTGGGCATTATTTTGTAATTGTCTCCTTAAAAAAACTTATCAATAGACCAACAATGTAAAGCATGAAAGTTTTAAACTATTGTCAAGACTTTCCAATTAACTTCTAAACACAAATCCAGTGAGAATTATCACATAATCATCTAGCATCCATTAAATGAAAACTTTTGTAGGGGAACTTAATAACTGAACAGATATTTAAATTTCCATTCCATAATCTTTCTTCCATTAAACTAAATCTTTTGTGAGAGATGTAAAAAAAATGATATTTAAATTTCCATTTCATAAACCCCTCTGTGTTGATCATAAAGCCTCGACTTTAAAAATATGATAAAAGAAAAGGAAGCAACTTACGTGTCGCCTTCATCATCTTGGAATGGAAGTTGTTCCCTTGAAATTTCTGCTACCATTCTTCTGGCAACATTGATCAAATTTTGTTTCTTTTGCTCCATTGCTGTAATGAACAATAACAAAATATAGTTGTACATGTATCATATTTTCAAATCTGGCAAACGAATTCAATTGTTTTTCAATAGAAACAAAATGTTTCAAAATATCATGAAGTGTACCTCTTCTCTGCATGGCAATCTGGGGGTTGGGCTGAGCCTTGGCCTGAATCTTGGCAGCAGGTCGCACACCGTTAATCTGTCCAGATTTGTCATTGCCGGGAATCTTGGGTCGAATCTCACGCAGCTTGATTTTCTCCTGTTTTGGGGCTTGGACTGGCTGTTGAGGTGCCACAATGATAATTGTATTTGGCTGTTGACTGGTTCCCCCAGCAGGGATGGGAACTGGTACAGATGTGATGGGAGCTCCTCCACCAGTGGCATTGTTCACAATAACAAATGAGTTTGTTGTTGTAATTGGCTGAGTGGTAGTCACTGCAGGCTTTATCATGCCTGGACTAGACACCAACCCTGGGGTTGGTTGAACCATTCCTGTGGGAGTGTTGCTGATTAGGTTGTGACCATGGCCAATGCTTGTAGTAGGGCTCAGAATGGACTGGCTCATGGTGTTGGGGGGTAGGATGATGACCTGATTACTGGTAGGAGTGCTTGGGGAGATGCAGTTAGTATTGACTTGTTGTGGCTGTGGAACATATGCAGGTTGCATCCTGATAGGCTGACCATTGGCCATTGGGGGAACCTGTTGTGGCTTTTGTCCCAAATACATAGGCTGTTGCTGTATTGGCATGGGTGGAGTTGAAATTTGATGCTGAAGATTCATACCCATGTTTGGTTGAGAGCCTGTCAGGGATGTTTGAGGGTATCCATTTGCAGCTGAAACTGCTGGTTTCATCTGCTGTTGTGGACTGAAAGCCCTTGATGCTTGGCTCTGCTGAACAGCTTTTGGGCTGAAATTCTCTTGAGGAGCTTGATACTGTGGCTTAGGAGTTTCTTTGTCTTTCAGATCTTTAGCCAAAATCTCCAACACATCATGCAGCTTGTCCATGTTTTTGTCAATGTATTCTGATGTGTTATCAAGCTCAGTAGAAGCTGGCATTGGACTCATGGCATTGCTTGGTGGGGAGGTGCCAGTATGTGACTGGGGGGATTTGATGTCTGATTGAGGGCTGGGAACTGCATATCCACCATAGCCACTGTCTACAGAAGGTGGTGGAGAGTTCAAAGACATCTGACTGGCAGGGGAGTTGGTGGTGAAGGAGTAAGGGCTTTTCTCCATATCTGACTCAGATTCACTGTAATCAGATTTTTCATTCTGTCTCTCTGTAAAACTCTGTTCAGGTGAAAATGTGTTGTTTATCTGATTGTTCAGCTCGTTGTTGCTAAAGTTGGCATTCATGCAGTCATTCTGTCCAGGCAACATGGGCATTCCGCCACTGTACATTCCATTGGGCATACCATTTGGCATAGGTGCATGGCCATAATTTCCAAACATTGTATTGTCCAAAAAGGTACTGCCTCCATAACCTGAGGTGTTGTCCTGCTGGCCTCCTAAAGAGTCCAGGAATTGGTCTGGGTTAAAAGCTTGTGGATTCTCATAGTTTGGCTGCGATACTGGCTTCATGAATTTGCCAGCTGACATCTTATCCACTGAGTATGTCATCTGGTAAGCATTAATATCCATGTTGTTCTGTAACTCATGATTCAAACCAGAATTGGTGAAGAGTTCATCCAATGGCTTTCCATACTTCTGATAGGAGAACTCATCATGGTCCATGGTGCGTTTCCCTCCCTTAAAGCCAGTGTTGGGCTGGCATGGATAGTTGTTGAATGACTTGTATGAATGAGTTTGAGAATACGGCACTCTGGGAATTCCACCGCTTGGTCCTCGAGATTTGACCTCTCCTTTGAGTTTTACATCATCATCATCATTGAGAGACAAGTTGCTGGTCAATGTATTGAGTTCTTTTTCTGGGTCATTGACTTTGTCCACCAGACCACCATTGACACCCCCATTCATGGACATTTTGGCGAACTCTTTACTTAGATCGACCTCCTTTGTCTCTGTAGCCTCCTTTTTCTCGGTGATGTTGTCCCCCTCCTTGGAGGCTGGGGCACTCTTTTTTATTTCTTCTGTCTTTTCCATGGTCTTCTGCTGAGCATCTGATTTTTCCACCACTTTCACTGGTGTCTTCTTCACTGTGTCTACTTTGGACAAGTCATTGATCTTCTCCGATCCCTTATCCAAGTTGTTCTGGCCAGCAACTGGAAATACAAAAAGTCAAATACAGGTTAAATCATTGCTCTGTAGGGGGTGAGACAAGCGATTATGAAATTATCATTAAAAATACCCATGTGAAGCTGAATGTTACTGCAGACAACACTCCTAGGGAAAAAATCAATAAAACTTTTGCACCGACATAATTTTTAACGTATCTTAGTAACCAAAGTCCACAAATCAATCTACTTTTTCACACTTTAAAATCAATAAATCATTATATTTAATCTCCTGCAAACATCTTAGTCTAAATCAAAACATGTAAACAAGGAAATTAATGAAATGAAAAGATAAGCTGAATTTAAAGTATTTGTTTATGTGCCCAGAAATAGAGCTAGTTATCAAAGAGTAGCATCTGAAATGATATAAATACATGTACAAGGCAATATAATAACTCAAGTCCACATCCAACCTTAACAACTTGGAGGTTAATCCATAACTAATTTTCAAAACATTACCCCTGCATTCATAATCAACATAATAATTAAACCACAACACTACTTTTTTCCCCTAAAAATCAAGAAATTGCTGCACTGTAAATTTGACAGAAATGTCAAATAACAATAGTTTCACTCAAAGAGAAGGAAATATCTCAAAAATTTGTCAGAAAACTGTATGAAAAAAAAAGTCAGCAATATATGAAAAAAAATCTTTTATCAAGCCGGTATAGCTGCCTAATTATGCAGAACTTAAAAAATAGCAATTATATATAGCTCTGCTTGTATCTAAGGAAATGACCTAAGAACAATTTCAGAAAACTGTATGATGACAAATTTTAAACATTCTGTATTAATTACAGAATCTGATTCTTAGCTGTGACAGCAGCTGATCAATATGGTACATGCATTTCACCTAATTAACTCACCAGTTTTTGACACTCCTAAGCCACTAGATTCTGAGGGCACATTACACAGTTGCATTTTTCTGATAAGTTTTAATAAAATCAATTTTACACTAGACACAACAATTTTAGTCCAAACTCATCATAGTTCCTCCAAGAATAACTATACTTTGAAGATAATCAGGAATATCCCTGGAGAGATCACAACCCTGATCTGTGATCTGATTGGTTACCTTCTAACCAATCAGATCTTCCCCTTTGTACTAAGGCTTATGTTTTTGGCACATACACACCTTGATATTTATAACTACATGACTTCTGTTGAAACAGGGAAATTTGTGACCCAATAAAGAAAGCATGTCCCTTTAAACTCTATATAATCTTACCTGCAAAATGAAACTTTATCAGATAAATTGCTCCAGATAACACAAAAACCTATAACTGCATAACAAGAGACAAGTGAAAAATATGCTTCACTGGGCGCAGTGAAGGTCACATAGATATTAAGTGAAAAAGAGTTACTCTGTCAGTCACCAACCAATCAGATCACATCCGCTAGGTAATAAACATGACAAAAATACGTAATACTATAAATAGAACTTAACATGTTGAACAATGACAATTCAATTTCAAGCTTTAGTCGTCTAGTAAAAATTAAGTCTTATCATAAAATATGTGGTGTGTATGTATGTGCTTAAATAGCTATATGGAAGTTTCCCCTCAGGTCAATGCCTTATGTGTTGAGGAAGTCAAAATATAGTAATTCAAGCATTTAGTGGGTCATTGAATCCCATGCATTATCTCATTTTTTAAAATTAATAGTGATAAACATCCCTTTCTTATTAAATATTCCCTCGTTCAATATCCTCCATGCACAAAAAAGCACAGGCACCTGACTTTTTATCAAAAAATTGCTAAATTAGCCATATATCAAAAAAAAAAAAATCTAACCCCTCGATCCATATATAAATACATGTGTATTTATATATAGAGGGGGTAGAAGTTTTTGATATTACTTGGCTTATTTAGCGACTTATTGATAAAAATTCAGGTGCCTGTGAAGCTTGCAAGAGAACTATAGATTGCATACTTAATCCTGGGTTGTATTAAAGCATCTGCTCCATAAAAATTTTTATTTTTATATTTTTTTTTTTTTTCAACATTCAAGTTTGTTTTAGAAGCACAAGATACAGTATGATTAATAAGGCTCTTTTATACTTTTGAATATGACTGCAGGCATACTGAATTTTTTTTTTTACTTACATGGAAGATATGATGAAAGCAAATGGCATCAAAGTAAAATATTGTACCAGGTACTTATTTTGAATAAACAATTCTTAAAACAATAAATTTGAGCTAAAGTGATTTTTCTGTGAAAACCAAAAATACAATTCTCAAATATCATACCATCAGTGGATTTAAAACTAGATATAATATATGCCATGTAAACTCGTACATCATCAAAAGAAAGTATTAATCAAAGAAATCCTTACTATCTTTTTAAAAAAAACTGCATTCCAAAAATGCAACTCAACAAGAGGCCCATGGGCCACATCGCTCACCTGAGAAGCTTTGACCATTCTGTTCTTTACCAGATTTCCCCCTTGTTATACATAATGCATACCCACCCTACCCCACTGATCATAATTTAGACATTTTGAAATCTACACTACCCCATGATCCTTCCATGGGCACATATGTTTCAGCTTTTTTGGCCCAGCGGTTCCCGAGAACAAGATTTTCAAAGATTTTTCCTATATATTTCTATGTAAAACTTTGATTCCCTATAATGGCCCCGCCCTTCCCCCGGGGGTCATGTTTCCTACAATTTATAATTTACACTACCCCAGAATGCTTCCACATAAGCTTCACTTTTTCTGGCCCTGTGGTTCTTGAGTAGAAGATTTTCAAAGAATTTTCCTATATATTTCTTTATAAAACTTTGATTCCCCATTGTGGCCCCGCCCTTCCCCCGGGGGTCATTATTTGAATAATTAAGAATCTACATTATACCAGGATGCTTCCACATGAGTTTCAGCTTTTTTGGCCCAGTGGTTCCTGAGAAGAAGATTTTCAAAGATTTTTCCTATATATTTCTATGTAAAACTTTGATTCCCTATAATGGCCCCGCCCTTCCCCCGGGGGTCATGATTCCTACAATTTAGAATTTACAATACCCCAGAATGCTTCCACATAAGTTTCACTTTTTCTGGCCCAGTGGTTCTTGAGAAGAAGATTTTCAAAGATTTTTCCTATATATTTCTATATAAAACTTTGATTCCCCATTGTGGCCGCTCTCTCTCTCTCTCTCTCTCTCATCTCTATTTGAACAATTTGGAATCTACATTATACCAGGATGCTTCCACATAAGTTTCAGCTTTTCTGGCCCAGTGGTTCTTGAGAAGAAGATTTTCAAAGATTTTTCCTATATATTTTTATATAAAACTTTGATTCCCCATTGTGGCCGCGCCCTTCCCCCGGGGGTCATGATTTGAACAATTTAGAATCTAATTACCCCAGGATGCTTCCACATAAGTTTCAGCTTTACTGGCCCAGTGGTTCTTGAGAAGAAGATTTTTTAATGACCCAACCCTATTTTTGTCTTTTCTTGATTATCTCCCCTTGCGAGGGGATATGTCCCTTCATTTTAACAATTTAAATTCTCCTTCACCCAAGAATGCTTTGTACCAAGTTTGGTCAAAATTGGCCCAGTGGTTCTTGAGAAGAAGTCGAAAATGTGAAAAGTTTACAGACGGACAGAAGACGGAAGCTAGAAGACGGACGGATCAGACAGACAGACCAACGGACGACGACAAAATGTGATCAGAAAAGCTCACTTGAGCCTTCGGCTCAGGTGAGCTAAAAACACTGGAAATTTGGGGAGACATTAAGACAGTTGCACCCAATGGAAAATTATTGTTGTGCATTTAAATTTTAAGGATAATAGGGAACTGGTTTGAAATAAACTATCATACAAAAGAACACCTCCAAGATTGCAAATAATAAATTCAAATAAAACATTTCTCTCTCTCTCTTTTGGTCTCTGCCAGTCTCTCTCTCTCCTGTCCCACTATTTTGTCTGCTGCAAAGCTAATGACGGACTAAATTCTACTTAAAATTTGCCATTAAAAAAAAAAATGCCGGTTGTCAGTCCATTTGTAAAATGTCCTCTTAAACTTGACTTCAGCCCAAATCCTAGCAACATGTACTGATCTTTTGTGTGGGCAGATGAGAGATTCATTAAACAAGACTGTCCTAGTTGACGAGCTACAACAAAACTCAGAGCTGTAAAAATCTTTGTTCACCAATTACAACCCAGAAATGAAGGGTGATTACCATGACTTTTAAAATTAAATACATGTACTGGCATCCGTCCTGTCACAAATACAATAATTTAGCAAACAATAATATTTCAGTGTTAATGAGACTAAAAAATCTACATTAAAATAAACGAAGTATTCAGTGGTGATATGCCATTTTAAAAGTATTCTTTGACTTCATTTTGGCAATGAAAATTAAAAATAATTTACACTAAAAATTAACATGAAAATTGTCAATCACTGAACCTCATCATCCTGTTTCATATTTTATGTTAATTTTTTTAGCATTATAAGCTGAAGAAAAACCATAAAATGTAACAAAAATGTCACTTATAAAGTAACATATCATAACTGCCAAAAGAATTGGAATGGGAGGGGATATGTCTCCCTGTCCAGAAGGCATGAAAATTTTTAATAGTTTATCTAGAAATTCTCAACATTTGGATTTAAATAATGAAGATTTGCTTGCAGATGTAATTTCAAGGGATCTTTTTGTTAAGTATACTTAAAACTCTACAGCTTCAATCTAATTGCAGAATTCCCCCCCCCCCCCCTCTCTCTCTCTCTCTTTTCCCCTGGATCACATAAAAAGCTAAAAAAAAACTGTTATTCTGCTGATCTTTGATTTAGTGACTATGGATTACGTGTCGACACCTGATTTCCTTAAAGTCAACTTTCTACTAAATTAATAAAAAAAAAAAAAACTATCCTTGGATGCCATTGAGCTTGACAAATACAAGTATTAGAAAAGTTTAAGGTATTGAAAGATTAAGACACATGAAATTTCCTGAAAGGACATCATATTTTGATTTTTGAATATTAATAT